GATGCCACGGGAAGCAGAATCAAGGCTTCCAGATACACGAAGTGTGGATCGAGTCGGTTCTTTATTTTGGCATGATGAGGTCAAATGAATGACGCTACTGGGATCCTGTATGCGCGTTTCGGTGACGCAGCACACATCGATGGCGTGAGATTCTAAAGTCCTAGCTAAGGAAGCCTGCTGTCCTATTTGGCAAAGTGTTCGGACGTTAAAAGCTCCTACGTGTAGTTTAGAGCGTGGTTTCAGGAGACCAGGAATAGCGTTCCGCGTACTCGAATCGTTTGCCCTAGCGATGCGAGGTGATAAAGAGACGTGAGGAGGGTTAGTCATGTAGATAAGAAAGGTATTAGGATGTGTAGGAAGGATTTGAATGTGACCAACTTGGTATCGTGTGCTGTTACGGGTATGAGGGCGGTTATCACTTCCCAGCTGCCTAGCACGTGGAAGGGTATTTTTTGAGGAACCTGAAAAGGAAATTGGATTAGTGTTGGTCTTACCGACCTGGGAGCGTTACTACAGAGCCCAAGGGATAACTGCTTAAGGCCGGTCGTGCACGGCCTTTTTGTGGAAGGTTTTTAATCTGTTACCTCCGTTCTTCAAAGGGCCTTACCGCCGGAGACGGAAATCCGTGAGGTAAGGTGAGGTGTGACATTTTTAGGGTCGACCTTTTCTAACCCCACCCCTCCTTGTGGGAAGGCAGCATCGCTGCAGATGCTGGTTGTCCGAGGGAAACACCTTACTGCTGTCACACCTCTCTACAGTCAGCAGTACGACTTCGCCCTCAGACCTTGAGTTGCTGCTCTTAGTCTTACCGTTCGCCAATCGACCTGCCTGGCATGGTAGAACCTGCAGGAACATATGTTCCAGCCAATATAGCTCGGTCGGGTCATCACGATAGGCAAGCCCGACCACTGCGTCAAGGTAGCAGCTTCGGTCGGGGTAGTTTACGTAGTAACAATATAAGTGGTAAACAACACAGATTAGGCATATATGATTTGAGAAGATAGTATAAATTAGTGGAACATAAGAAATTTCGCAAATTGTTTAGAAATTCAAGATTTAAGAGAAGACAAGAGGTGAATGTCCCGGCGTAGTCGGGAACGATTTCGAATCGTCACCCTGTCTCTAACCACTGTTTACTATAATTACACGGACAGCAACCAGGTGTTTACATTTATTTGCATGACTCAATCCAATTGTCAACGACTTCATGGACTGCTACAATGCATTGGTTATTCTGCCTCTAGTTTCTAACAACTTAGTCCCCTACACCTGGCAACATTGTCTGCGGAAGTAAGCCGTGTTTGGTAAGACGTAACCAATGTCTTAACCATCTCAATCGACAAATGCTGGCTACCTCATCAACTGATATCATTCTTATCTAGTACTCTGCATCTGACCTAAGAATTGGAAAAGATAACCGAGATTTTGTCAGACACCAACCCAGGTCTGATGAGACCTCCAAGATAAGTGAAGTGATCGACAGACTCAATGCTTTGATAACTAGTACACAACGCATAACCTCGAGACTACTTACCATGTGAGAAATACGCTATGAAGTCATGTAAGATAAAATGCTAACAATCTACACGCATAAACACAATACATACATAAATAATGATAGCTAAGGGTCAAAATTCAGCTATAAACATGAGTTGGGATTCGATCCTATTTATAAGGTCAAACATTTTATTTGTTTGTTCAGGAACAAAAAAACCCAGGAAGTTAGTGAATAATTATTGAGACCGAGAATAAATAATAAAGGACTTGTAAATCAATAACTAATATAAGTACAAATAATTACTACTGTAAAGTGAAGTATTCGAAAATATACAAGCTTGATGACATAACATGACTCAAGTTATTATCTTTATACCCTAGAGTACGTAGGCATAACAGATTCGATACATAAACAATACAATAAGAGAGTGACTGCATCCACTAATCAACTCACAATACCAACATTTTCTCTGACCTCATTTCCATTCCTTTGGCCAACTACAGAAAATGTTCAAGTCGTGTAGGAAATATATGTGTCTTTTGTCTAGTTAGAGCTATAACAAGGATAAAATATGCGATTGGTACGATTTAAGGCAGACAAAAAGAATGTATGCAAAGTAACCTCTACTAGTCGATTTGTTGATATGTATAAACTCAAATACACTAAACAAGAGAAAACAATAGGGATAGAGGTGGACTACAAACTTACTATAACAATTAAGAGAGAAAAATCGATGAGATCAGTCTCAAATCTAATAATATCGATGAGATGTAGGGTGAGTCACATATGCATAAACTAACGTAGGTATATACAAAATCAATACATTTCGAGACCAATTATTTGTACAAAAAAGAAAAAAGCCTCAGTGTTATGTATTTTTAAATAGGACAAATAGGAATTTTTATGCAAAGATGAACTAATTTTGTGGTAAAACTTAAAAAAAAACAATTGTTCACTGGACTGGTTAGTCCAGTCTAGACTTTGTTAAATCCTGAAAACCAAGATAGTATTTATAATGAGATAAGATTAAACTAGGTATGATTGATAAGAAATGACAAAACATTTGAGTATTTGTAATTATAAAGTAGTTCACAAATGAGATGAAGTTACAATTTTTTTCAATAGATTTTTTAGGGTTATATAGTTGCAGAGCAAGTGAGTTTACAATCTACTGAATGAATGAACTATGGTTACTAAATATTATAATTGGTTAGTGCTACTTTGAATTAGTTAAATATGATATAATTGGGGCTTTTGATAAGAACCTCTCTTCTACAAATAAAAAACACGAACTGAAACGTCTTAAAAACTTAGTCAGCTGACGAAATTTGAAACGGGCTACTACTCCTAAGTACAAAATAACTCAAATACTGTCACATTTTAGTTGATGAACATTAATAAGACAAAAATTTTCATCTGTCTAACCATTGCGAGAATGAATCTCTCAACAATGAGATTTGAAATAAGCAATTACCATGCACCAAAAAACACAATTCCCATTATGTTAGTTGGTTATGTCTGATTTAGTGAACCTATGAATAGGGTCACGGATATCCTGTGTAATTATCATAATGTAATGGAATCTGACTGAATTCTCGGCATAGGGTAGTGGATAATATTGAATTTTATTGAAATCACGAACTAATCAGAGTTAGGAGATTGAAAATCTGGAAACACTGGGTAGCCGCTTCTTTACTAGTGACTAGCTTCTAGAGGAAATTTCCGATGAACCAGAGAGAACCCATGTCTAGTGCAGCTAAACCGTATCGAGTGTGAGGAAGGTACCTAACAAAGACCAAAAGTCCTGGGTTCGATTCGCGAGTGTGGGATCGTGGACAAGCAGTCATAAGGAGCCCCGTACTAGGACGAAACGGCCATCCAATCTTCCAAAGTTTCTAATGGTCGTCCAACTCTGACCCCTTTGCGATGTCAATATATATAAGGCTATCGATTAAAAGAACATTTTTAGGAAGAGATATGCGTTTAAACTTTGACATAGATTATTCTAACCAAAGGCATATTGTAATCCATAAGTGTTTTTATTATCTTAAGAGAATTGGTAACAATGATTTGGATGGACATTTACAGTCAGCAGCTATATATAAACACACATAACCACCAGTAATACTTTCTTAAATAAACTTCACTGATTTATCAAAAAATTGAATATCATAAATTACCAGGGTGCAACGTGGAAACTGAGTGATTTCCACTCGAGGATACTCAACAAGATTACTTGATAAGAGGTTTACTAAACATTATGATAAAATTTAGTTTCACTCTAAACTGTTTAATTGACACACATTTCAGGCATGTTTTGATAACAATCACATGATTCGAAGCAATTAGTCCCTTTGACAAATTTCGATAGTGTAATAAGAAGACGAAGATTATCAGAACTATGTCGTATATTAGCTCAATAATTTCGGACAATACGACTACACATATACTTGTTAACATTTATATATAAAAATAAAAAGTCAAATAGACTAGAAATGGAGGGTAAGAGGAGACAAGGATAATAAAGAAAATAGTGTGAAAACATTATTCGAAACAATTTGAAACCTCATCACTCTGGATAATTAGCTAATAATAATAATAGGTTCAAGGTAAGAACAAACTGTGTTTGAATGCACAAAAGGGTTTTGAATTTTCGTATGGCTAAGGCTTCAATAAACCATAAAACACGCCCGTTCATACTTTTGTACAACACCACAAAAGCCGTGTTAAGATCTGTTTCAACTATGTATTTGGTAATGGAGGATGATGAATGTTTATCCTTTACTCTTATCGGGTCATTAACAAGTATGTGTATGATCAGATTGTTCAAAATGTATTGAGATAAAATATCACATAGTTCTAATAATCTTCGTCTGCTTATTACACTATCGAAATCACACGATTAAAAAAGTTATATTGTAAACAATACTGTAATACTATTGGTAATACTACTACTACTTCGCAGATCAAGCAGAACACGTTTTGTGAGGATCAACTAGTTTGCAAATTCATTATGTAATCAAGTTGATTTCAATAATTTAAACTTTAAAAGCAAAAACAGAAACAACTTATTTTAATATTAATCATTCACCACACTAAAAACATGCAACGTCGAATTACTTAGTCATAAAAAACAAAAGGAAAAGGCAATTGAAGATGTGGACAGCTTACTGCAATCCAAATCTACTCAGTTTCTTTGATAAGCAAACAAACTCTGAAACTTTCCTGAAAGAGAAAAAAATAACTAGAACAAAACTATAAGAGACAATTAAAACAATTAAGAATGAATGAGTTGTCAGCATCTCAGTTTTTCGTTTCACTCCTTTACAGAAGAACAGTTAACAGACATACAAACAGTAATCGATCTGTGAAAACAAAGAAAGCAATCTTGGACGGGAAGAAAAGAAGAGTAGAGACGGATAAAAAGAGAAAGATGAACAAAAAACAACATCAGCAACAAAGAAATCAACAACAAATGAATGTTAAATTAAGATGAACTTACCATGAGATGAGGCATCAAATGTTGGAGTTTTTGTTAAATTACTGTTATACTGTCCTAGAGAAAAAGAAAATGGAAAATAAACTTGTTTTCATTAATACAGTTAAAATAAAATCACAAAGGAAGTTTGTTAAAAAGTCAGAATGAAATGAATATATTATACTATTTTGTTTAAAATATTTGTTTTAAAATTAGAAACTGGATTGTTTATTTTTAAAGTGAGAACAAAAAATTTAATGGGATGAAGTGAATTCATTTCATTTTGTGCGCTCTAAATCCTCCATGTACACAGAGATTTGTATAAATCAATAAAATGTTTCATAAATGTAATTTAGTGTGTAGCATGTTTAAAGTCAATTAATTAACTGATAAAAAATAACTATGAACACTTTGTATATTCATACAGGTCTAATTTATTGGTGAACGGATCAAGTGAGAGATGATGAAAATAATAGCAACTGTCAAGAAAAAAATTAACCATAGCAGTCATAATAATAATAGTTAAAGATGATATTAGAAGACAAAAGTACTTGGATGCTTACGTAAGTAAGGAGTCAAACATTTTCCGTGAATTATGTCAAAATAATGAGGCTAGTTATGTTAACAATAGCCTTTATCAGTAATTGACACTGGGAGAAATGGCTGACGACAACTAATAACAGCATCCTATTTCCCGGTTGTCATGACCTCAAACAAAATCGAAATCTACTAATAAGACGCGACAGCACACTTTAACTGATATAATGTGTATGTTCTGAAAACGATTAAGGAATGAATGTCAATATACGGGTGAAAACAGGATGACACAAATTAAGAGGGAACCTTTAGAAAACAACTTAAAAATACATGATTCATAAGTTGTTTAGATTAAATATTGATACTGAATCATCAGTTGAGATGGCTGGGACACGTGTTACGTATGCCCAACCACCGACTACCTCGACGTGCGATGCTCAATTGTATAGGAGTAGGTTGGAAGAAAGTTAGGGGCGGCCAGACCAAAACCTGGCACAAGTTCATGAAGTCACTGACAATTGGACTGAGTCATGTTGGTAGGTGTAGACTACCTGGTTGGGGACCACGAGATGATAGCAACCGATGGTTAGAGACCCTGAATGACATGGCTCAAAATCGTTTGCAAAGGTGCTGGTGCATTCACTCTTTGTGTTCTCCCGATTTCTAATATCTTGAATCCTCCTTGTCTTTTTTCTCTCTCCAAATTTATTTCACTGAATTATCTTCAAACACTAATGTTTCCGATTACTGCCTATACTCTTACCGCCTCTACCACTACGGGATTTGAATCGACAACTGCATCTGTGTGCTAATGTGGTGTGGCAACTCGAACTGACGTACGTACGAAGTTCTACGTTGTTACTGACTGGCTGATTGATACTGAAATGGATGTTAATTATGTGAAGTGAAACCAGATGCGAAACTGACAGGTGATATTTTTTTACAATCCAGTATTATTGGCTGAATATACACCCTAATAGTCATAACTCTTGTAAGCAAAATAACTCATCGAGCAAGTGGGATAGTTACAACATCATGTATATTTTAGGATAACAGATATCAATTTTATTGCTATAGAATGTTTATTAAACAAGCCAATCACTAGTGATATATCTTGATATTTCACGTATCTTCGTATTCACTTCACAACCCAAATCAATTTGGAAATAATTAGAACAATTTCGACTTGATTAAAAAGTGTTACAATGTAATTTGTATCAAGATTCGGAAATGAACTATTCGAACTACGGGATTGATGCACTCACAAGTGAGGAAAGATGCGACTACAGCATGAATGCATTGATAAGTTTAACACACACGTATACATCTTAATCAATTAAAGACTTAAAAAATCTAGTAGAAATAGAGGATAATTATGGAACTTACCAAACGCCTTGAACAATACAAGATAATGTGGCTCACAATATGGATTGCCTTCCCATACACTGTATTTGCCCAAGCTATGAAAAGTTTTCAACAATAACGAATGAATGAAAAAACAAGTTGTGTCTAGTTGCAAAATTTAAGCAGTAAGCATAATTTAAAGGAAATATGGCAGTCGATAAGTAATTAACACCAACTACTGACATGGATTGTGAAAATATATGACAAAAAACTAAGTATATTCAGTGTCTGACATGTAAACAGAGATAATTTATTAAATATGATGAACAATGTACACGGTTGGCTAACTAGCTACAATGCTGAATGGTCAATTTGTTTCAACTTTGTAACAGGTACGTGAACATGTATGTGCATTTCGAAAAATGTCATACAATGATCATCAATAAACATTTATCTTTAATCATTGTAAGTCTTATGTATATATTATTGCTTTGACTGTTACTGATGACCTAATCATGTTGCGTACGTAATTCACTAAGCTCATCGATAAGCTTACGTATATTAATGAAACAGGCAAAGCTTGTGAGTTAGAAGCCAAAAACTTATGTTCATGTCCATTGTAACTAATCAACGTGAAGTATCTAAAACTTTCCAGAGAACGGTGCTTAGCTATAAGCTCAAATGTGTACTTTAGTGCGAGAGTCAGAGACGTCACCAGTCGGGTAACGAAGCCCTTCTGTAGAACTGTGTCAATTATATAAATCTATTATCATATTTAGTCCCCAGATTTAGAAAAACATTTGGTTTACCAAATTAGTTTGATAATTCATTTTTTAAGACAGTTTGTACCGCTATATTTTAGAAAATTTTCTTTTCGCAACTTTTAAAGTTTAAAAGCAGATTTCCGTTCGTACAAAATACGTATTCATCAATTCACGTAGGCACCACTACAATGTTCACCTTTCACGGTTGATGTTGTATTACGATGACAAAATATTTTTTAATTCATATTTATGATTAAACCAGCGTGCAATGAGCAAATTTTATTATATAATTTGTGTTTAAAAGTTTGTATTCTATAGTAAATTTAGTATTTCAACACATTCCTAGGACTATTCTTCAGTGATTTAGCTGCACGAACACACTGACTAGATATATTCTGGACAAACGTTAACCCTTAAACCTTAAAAGGATATATGAAGATTGGGTGAAACATCCGAAATTAAATGCCATTTACAAACTACAATTGTTAATTCCTTAACAGTCCTATTTTATAAAAATCTTTTTGATATTACTACACAAACTGTGTGATATATTTGTGTGCAAGTCTGACAGTTGGATCTATTCGTAGGCTAACTGTAGATATTATTGACGCGATGAAGTAAGCTTATCCATGGTAAGTTTATCTCGTATTATAAAGTAGAAAGAAGAAAGTCTTGTTGAATTGGATTAGAGAAAACAATGCTATACATTTTGATGAATAATAATATTAGGGCTATCAATTCATCTCGGTAGAACTATGAAATGAATCAAGGTTTTCATCAAATATGACGAACTGTTTTAACATCTTGTGAATCTAGTCAAACCACCTGACGTATATGTATATCTCTAATTGATATCAAAGACTTTTTATATATTTTAGTGTTAAGCTGATTGAAATGAGGCATGATATTAATTGATAAAATTTAATCAAATATTGTCCCAAATATGACAGAAAGAAATCAGCATAGTCTACTCATTGTATTGTGCAATACTCAGTATAAATATATAACCGTTAGGGTTTATCAGTTTTATATGAATCGCTGTTAATTTTAACTGATGTAATTATCAATTATTATTATTATTGTTAACACTGTGACCTCAGGTACAACTTGAGTAATTGTCACGAATCATAAAGGATTTGAATGATAAGCCTATTTTGTAATTTACATACATATCCATACACACACATATCACAATCAACAATAATGATGACTGTCAAAATAACCTGACAATGGAGCAGTGTGTAGTAATATTATTACAATTGATAATATTACTACTTATTTGATGAATAGAAAGTAGAATATGCATTACATAAAATTATGGAGAAATCTAATCATCTCACATGCAATCGATATAGTTAGTTAGATATACATGCTACATACATACCTAATGTGATTAATTCTCCATTTTTTTACAAGTATATAACTCTTCTTTATAATCTGCTTCTATTTAAGTATTTGTGTACGCTAGTTTGAAAGTGTCCACCTTGACCTTATGCATATATATACATTGATATGAGAAAGCATACAGAAATTCATTGCTTTAACTCAGTAATTAGAAGATGGAATTAGTAAAAAATTTTAAATATATTAGAATAAAATGATCTGTGCAATTGAATTGTAGAATATATCAATATTAAAGTACATATTTTCTATCATTTAAATGACATTAAAACTAGTTCATAAAATACATTCATTCTATCTTTATGTATATATATATGCCATGTACTTTTTCAAATACAACTCATCTATCTACCTAGCCATTATCATTATTATCATCGCCAACACAGCTGAAATGTATAGTTAAAATGGCGATTTAGGGAAATGTATACATTTATAATGTAAAAGGTCTTTACTAAGTAGCAAACAGTAATTATCACATTCAATCGCGCTTTAGTACGCTAAATTCCTTGGATTTACCAGTATCAAAGCACCATGTTATTGTAAATAATTTGACCTTAATTACATTGTATTAGATAATGAATGCCACAAAGTACATTTATGCCTATCTGCTGAAATGAAACCAATTCAACAAATTAAGAAAATGATAATAAATCCATACAAAACTACCACATTTTTTTGAGTTTCATACTAAGAGGAAACGACCGTCCAGTGGCTTCTAGTTTTCTATGTTGGTCTAGCTTCTATTGACTCATGAATTTAACTATTAAGTTTTTTTGTATTCACTAAGAGACTTCAGACACAAACGGAATAGTGAAAAAACTAAAGCACTCGTATCTAAAACTATACATATGGTTGTGTCCTAAATGATATGTTTTGAAAGAAAGTTAGGAGCCGAAAACCGAAAAGTTGAATCTGTTCACGAAGTCAGTGACTACTGGACTTAGCCAGGTTCGTAGGTTCAGACTGTGTGATTAGGGTGCGGGTGATTATCGTAACCACAAACCCCTACTGGTAGGTTTAGGATCCAAAAAGGGTAGCCGTGTTTATACAGCAAACCGTCTACAACGATAGGCAACTACACTGTTGGGCTATGATTTCAAGATAAAATATCAATCGATAATGGATTTCAGACAGGCAGTTGCTCTCTGAAGATTAATTGGTCCTCGCATAAAACAAGAAGAGGGGGTGGTTGTAGCTGCCGTAGAATCTGAGGCCGAAGTTCTCACAGTGTTGACAGACAGTTTATGGACTGCCGGTCACACTCGAAGCCATTAAAGAAGCTAGTGAGAAGGATAATACGGTGAAAATCGTTCGCCACCATATACTCAACAAGTGGCTTTCACCACGACTTCATGGAGAGCTTTCACAATACACTCGTCGGTGAAACTGCTTGCCAATTGTCCATCCATGAATCATGTTTGGCTACCAGATTGTTATCTCCAGAATTCTTCGACATAAAGTTCTTAAACATTTCCATAGCAGGTATCTGGGAATAAGTAAAACGAAGTTGCTGCCTCGGAATCACGCATACTGACCATCAATGGACCGTTATATAGAACAAAGGTATCGTAGCTTCGGTCCTCGTCTAGATTCCGCAAAGAATTCGACCAAAGCAGAACCCAAACCACGGCCAAAACCGGATGGACCTTGGCAAAGAGTACATGGTGATTTTGCTGGTCCAATACAATACAGAAACTACTTGGTTATTGTGTATGCTTCCACGAAGTGGCCAGAAGTATACGATATGCCGAACAATAAGAAAATTGTCAAGTATTTGCTTGTTTCGTGGTTCCGGAGATCTTGGTAAATGACAATGGCATTCAGTTCATATTGTCCGTTTTCAAACGGTTCTGCAGTGAAAATGGCATTACGCATCCACAATCTCCTCTGTACCATCCCCCATTCGAATGACCAACAGAAAGATTCTTGGATACAATGATGATTTCGCTTTTACTAAAAAATATAAATACCTAAGTGTTTTGTTCCATGTTTGACACTGTTTGGAATAAGATTACTTCCTATTCGTCTTTTGTCTTCTAGTTTGAGACTTGGAAGGTTCCAGAGTTTGAGTGCTCAAGTTGTGCGTGCAGTGAAAAGTTTTGTACATAACTGATATTCTTTATTAATGCACACACAACTCTAAACGGAATAGAAGTTGTAACCTACGAGTCTTGTAGGTGTACATTGATGAGAATGTGGCCAAATTAAAATGAAACAGCTATTCAGTTGTATATGCTTCCCAACATATCTTTAACTGATGTCACTTCATTACGTAAACAACTGATGGACAAAAACATATATCACACGATCTACAGTGAGATACAGAATCCCATAAATCGTCTACAGATGTGGTGAATACTATTAGAAAGATTGCTTGTAAGTAGTATGCAGCAGAACGTGGCGTCGAAGTTGTCACAGTTGTAAGACGGAGAGAAGAGTTCGGATTGCAGGAAACACCGCAAGATGCAAGTGGATGGTAGGCTATGTATACATACTATAGCTACATTGTAATTTATCATAATAAACATTTCTTCTGCCCACTGCCTTGTTCTGAATTTGGTGTCGCTGGCAAGAATCAGGAGGAAAGTGCTGCGGCCAGAGCCATTTGAAAGTAAAGACGTAAAAAGTTATCTGAGCCAATTCTAGGACATGGTAGCACTGGTCGATGAGGAGGAGCAGTGGGGAAAGGTGATAGCTTTGGGGACACAAGTGCGCAGCAGGGTGGAAGTAGCACCAGATGGTGTCGCTCTTGTTGATGGGGAGGAATCATAGGACGTCCTCGTTTCTCGAACGCTGATGGAGTTCGAAAGTCTGGCTTAGCAGTAGGAAGTATTATAGAAGTTTAAAGTTATGCACCTTGTGCCAGACGGAGACTTACTTGTATTGGCATCTACGTTAGCTAACTTGCTTCGATGTACATTACCCGCACTAGAAGAGGAGTCGAAAGAACAGTTGCTGGCATCTTAATTCCTAGAGAGTGTCCCAGAGATGATAGACCAACAGTTTCGGGTGGCGAATGCCGCACAGTCAATGGACATCTAGAAAATGACTAGAGCAGCTACACAACTGAAGAGTTTGGCTGTGTCATCAGTAACGAACGACTTCAAGACGTCAGTCTCCATGGAGGGGTGCGTTGAAGGATCTCCGACAATAAGTAACAGTTCTCAACTACTGGAAAATAATTTTTAGCGATCATCTGTGCGGTAGACAAATGGAGATCGTACATAGATGGTCAACGATTCTACTACAATGTGTAAAAACAGCACAAGACCCCCAGGAGGAAATTATCACGACAGACGTTTCACGTGCAGAAGTGTGGTTTTACGATTGGTCAAATATTGAGGGGAGAAAATACGGTTGCAGATAAACTACTGCGACCAGAGAACGACCGCGATTTACCCGAAGTGGTTTTCGGAGTCAACACAGTGCAGTCGGACCCAGAAACACTTATTCATTGTTAGGATCCCAAATCAACGCTCAAGGCAGCGAGGCGAGCGCTAGCCGAAGGAACTGACGCTAATACACCGAAACTAAACCAGGATGTAACCACACTTTTCAACCAGATAGATCAGTCAAGTCTGAATGCTGCGGGAATGCTAACTCAAAGTGGAGACGACAGGAGCTAAGTAGTGGTAATCACGAGACAATTATGCTGTGAGGTGATCGGCGAATGCCACCAACTGGCGCATACAGGTGTTGGGAGAACAACTGGTCTCTTACGAAAAAGTCTATAGCAGCCAAGGCTGAAGGGGGACGTGAAGATATATGTACTTGCATGCCCCCAACACCAGTTAATCAAGAGATATAGATTCGTATGCATACCTCTGCCACCAATTCCTGCGACAACTGTGAGAGGTCTAGGGTCGGTAGACGTCATTGGATTGTTTCCTCAAGCATATAAAGGGAATCAGTACCTGTCGGTACACGTTGGCTAAACATAATTGCAATTCCTGACCAACAGGGAAAGACAGTGAAGGAGGTAGTAATTCTACACATTATAGCGGACCATGGAGTTCCGAAAATGGTATTCACAGGTCAAAGTTCACGTTTTGATAGCTATGAGTTTACATCTTGCCTAAGTCACATGGAGATGAAGAGAATCTGAACAAATCCATATTATCTACAAATTAACGGGCTGACAAAACAAGATGATCACACATTGAATAAATGGCTGAGAGCAAAATGGAGGTAACTGAGAGGCGAATCAACCAACGATATAACAGGCATATTATGCCTCAATCAAACAAACTATCAGAAAGTCGTCTTTATAGTTGATATACGACAGACGATCATCAAGTAATAAACAGTTATTTTAGTAAACTTCAGATGGGTCAGTTGGATAGACAAAACTAATTAATATTCAAAATAGAAACCACTGTCTAGGAATTTAAACTAACCAATAACTAATGAGATATGCATACACGGTTAATGATTCTACTCGACTATCTAAGTCGAGGTTTGAGGAGAAGAGGGTTTCAAACATGCAACTCAATTATCAACACTCAAGTGTTCTAATCAATGATTTAACGCTGCAACAAAAAATCTGAAACTCAACTAGTTAGTTCCATTCACCTGGAAGGTTTTAAATAATTAACAAGAATGAATAGTCATCATTATTATTTGACAACAAACTACCTTAGAACACGGTGACATTGATGACACTTGAAACAGCTCTTATGATAAACTCGACCAATAGTCTGTAAAGCTTCTAAAGGATAGACCACTTCTGCACAAGCATGACACCTCGGTTGTTCAATTGATTCTCTTGTTGGAAGCTAAAATAAAACAAAAATCTTTATGTATATACAAATTCTTCAATTATTCAGAAAACTATATAGAACCAAGGAGACAAAAATTAACGAAGCATGAAAGATTGGAACTAAATAACTAAAAATGAATAAGGGCAAACAAAGAGCGAGCAATCGGAAATAAAATTATATGACGTCATGCGTGAAATCAAAATGAAGAACTTTGTTTTCATGGTATTCCTGCTTCAAAGTCAACTGGTAAATATTTTTCATCAAATCTAATGCATATATATGCATGCACAGATAAATTCATGATTAATCCAACATTATAAAGGTAAGCTGAAAATTAGGACATAAGTTGTTAAAGAAACTCAACTGATATGATATATTTTTACAAGAACATATATATATACCTTGTTGGTGTACTGTTATACATAGACTTGACTGAAACAAGAGTAAATGTATTGACTAAATCTATTATACACTTAAATATCGTTAATTCAAACATGTTAATTAACATGGAAATAAGAAAAAAATATTAAGATCAGAATTAAAATAAATATTTCAGTAGATTAAAAATGAACTTTAAATAAAAATAAATGATAATTGACTAGTTGTTTTGATTACCGTCATCAACGTACTACTCATGTCAATATTTTTGTCCATTTTGGAACCCTATATGATATTTTTTTTGAAGAATAGGGTAAAAAAACTGAATTACTTAATAATATTTGAAACAAAATTATAGTTCATGTAAAGATATGTTAACAATTAAATTTATTTAGTAGTATGTTTATTAATAGTATATATAATTAACCAGAATTTAAATGAATATTAATACTATTGTTAAAATATTCATGTCTCCGGTATTCCTTTTTCATATTGTATTGATGGAATTAAGAAAAAAATTTTCAATGGTTGAGGTCATGAGTCAGTTGAAGCTAGACCACCATGGAAAACCTGGAAGCACTGGAGTTCTAGTGAGAAGTAGTGACCAGTGGAGTTCGACCAGGTCTGTTGTGAGATAGTAACTCACTGAAGACAATGGTGGATGTGTCGCTCAATTTCGTGGATTAGTTGAAGTTAGACATTAACACCGTTGGATGCCGGCTCAGTGGTCTAGTGGTTAAGTGCTCGCGCGCAAAACTAGTAGGTCCCGGGTTCGGATCTCGCAGGGGGCGAGGTCAAGGATGCGCACTGCTGAGGAGTCCCACGATAGGAAGAAACTGACGTCCAGTGCTCGCAGGTTTTCCATGGTGGTCTAGTTTCAACTGACTCATGATCTTAACAATTGAAATTACTATAATATCCACAAAACCCATTTGATATTTAAAAAATTGTTAATAATTTTCAACTTAAAATGTTTCCATAATATTACATTTATTTGGTTGTATATTAGTAGGGTAATTTCAGTAATCAGTGATTGTGTACTTAAAAAATAATGGATATTCTAACTAATTTAACATGTAAAATATTTGTAAATTTGATAAAAAGTGAATTCTAGCAATTGCACACAAAATGTTAGAAATAAAACGTAATTAAATATAATTAAATTATTTTTCAAATATTTGAAGTATGTATTACTTTGTACAAATAGATTCGAGCACGCAAACAATGAATGGGCATGGTATAGTAAGTACCTAAAATGACGGCTATCAGTGTTAATTACTTTGATTCTTTTATACTTCAAGGTATCATTGATTTATTAAACAATACTTTTATTACTGAAGCCTTCACTGATAATTAACTTTGGGTGAAGACAAAGTATAAACATTTTTTAATTATTTGCTTTCACTCTGTATAGCAACATTGGTTTAGCCGACAAGTCAATAGGTCTTGAGAAAAATCCCCGAGTAAGGAGTCAATAAAACACATTATTTAAGTGTTTAACTGTAAGCAATTTAAAAGACTTAATCAATTTATACTCAGAACATTTTTCAACCACAATTAAGAGCACTTAAAATTATTCATTTCTCTGTAAATACTATCAATAAAGTGTATTCAGTCAAAAAATGAACAACAAATTCGTAATTAAGTACCAGTTTGTGTAATCACACTTGTGTGTATCGTGGTGATAACTACCAGGTTGCTCAAACCGAACTAGATGGAACCTGGGGTTTAACGTTTAAACCAACGATCAATAACCATTAGACCACTGTTCTCCAACTAATTTATTTTTTATGTTACATGTATTCAACGTACATTAAGTTTATATGCAATTCACCTAACTTTACTTTGAAATGAAATCGATTGTCATGAATGAGTATTTTTATAATGACACCCTCTCCAGATTACAAAGCTTTCAATATAATATTTACATCCGACTTCCTTAAATGAAACTTCAAAAATAAATGGTGTTAGCATGATATAATTAATAGTGAGTTTTGCCTTCATTGCATTAATTGATTTTCCTACTGAGTACTGTGTGAACAAATTCCACAACTTCCTGCTGGTGAACATATTCCCGGATATTTCGGTCACTACCACCATGTTTATGTTCCACTTGATACATTTAGTTTAATTTTCTATCCTTGACTACAGTTCGACTGAAATCACAATCTTAATGGCTCCAGTATTTTAGTCGAAATTAAGTTTATTAATGATCATATCCACCGTTAATAAAACCTATGGGTGTATATTAGATCATGGAACTGCCGATTATTATTTTCCTTAAAGTGTAGCTAATCATTCAAAGATTCACTCTTAAAATGACTAGCTAGTTGGATGATTAAGCATCCACCCTACTCAACGGAATGTTTATGTAGAATACCAATAAACAAGCTAACAATATAATAGGAAGAACAGTACTACTAATAAATATATACTAACGACATTTATTGGTATACATTAACGATACATATGCCCTTTTACACAGATATAAATCTATGCATTGTTATAAAGCCAAGGTTACAGACACCTCTTTTCAAAATAGCCATTTACAATTGACTGTTATAGCACTAGTTAGCCAAGATTATTTTTAAGCAACAAATAACTAATTGGGTTTATTTCAAATTTGCCAACAGAAACGAATTTACATGATAAAAAGGGCGTTATACTGGTACCAATAGATATACATATTTCCATGATGAGAGATAGAAAAAAAGAATACCGACGATGAGTAATAAGAGTTAGGCAAGCATAACACTGTAAAAATGGCGGCTAATTTAATGGAAATATTTCAAGATAGGAGCAACAAAAGCATTAGATAAAAAAGCATAAACTTCTGATAAGTATGAGGAGTTGAAAAATACCTACACTGTTCATCAGATGTATTAGTGACAGAAAAGAATAGTAACATTTAAATATTTTACAAATTATCATTACCAACTTGTGAAGTAAACTGAGACTAGCCAAAAACTAAGAGCAAATCCACAATAGTAATATTATTATTACCATTAGTACTATCATTAGCAATAATTACTCAGGGGTATATATATAAGATCCTACCAGTTGGCTACTTAACCAATTATTTAAGAGTTGAAAAAAAGAATATATTCGGACTACTTTTCAGTTACATCATGGATATTAAACGAGTGATAAGACGTTGATACACAACTAACTAGTCACTAATTATACAGCATAAATCAAGATCGTATGGAAAGTGATAAATAGAAAAAGCATAGAATATACATATCACCACATTATATCATGACGAGTTGAAAATATTGACAAATAGATTCCAATTTAATCCATATACTTTTGGCACAAGCTATGCGGAAACCTGAAGGTCCTCGACTCGATCACTGGTGGGATCATATATACGGACTTCTTAGAAGTTTCTTACTAGAACAAAAGACATGTTCAGTGCTCTCTGATTTTGAATGGTATCTCAATCAGTGTCAGCCTGTGACGAAAACCACCTCTTAATATGTTTGATCTCCATAAAAATAATCGCAATTACACTAATTAGTTGGCATTCGGGTCAGCGATATCGACTTTTGCCTGAACAGCACTTTAAAGTTCAACTATAAGAATTTACTGCTAAATAGGTTACTATAATTTTACAAACTCAGGACTTTAATAGATTCATCAACAAATACTTTCCCCAATGTTTTATAATTATTGGCTAGTAAAATTCTCATCAGAATTTAATAGAAATCTGGATAAACAGAGTTCACTGATTGAAAACAATCGAGTGAAATATTTCAGCTGGAAAACAGAATTAATTACTATAGTGACTCAATAATATCAAAAAGTAGACCTATTTCATTAACAGTCTACTAAATTAATTCATTATTTTCTTAAAAAAAGTATAATCAAGAAAATTAAGCTAGACCAGTAACTGACTAATTAGCACGACAGATAATACAATATACCAATAATTTTACATGTGATGATAAGCAGTCAGTGGTATAGCGAAAATGGTTAGCTGTAAATGTTGGTCGTGTTATGTAGATCTTACGAAAACAATTAAGTCGGATCAGAATTTATTGTTTTAGTGAATTAGGTGTTAGATGGCTGTTAGTTAACAATGTAAAAGTTCCGTTGATTGAAGGCACAATGGTTCAAACTAACTGAACGATGAAAAGACTAATAAAGAACGTGAAATTTACGCCAAAGGGTTGCACGCCACATCGATTGGACTTACTATCAAAGATGGACAAGTACGCCATCTTGTACGATCCTCTAAATTATCATCGGGTACAACATTCATTTTAACTAAACTTTCAGAATCGCAATAATTTTGCATCGTCTGAGATTGGTGCTTTAAATTCTCTACGTTTATATGTTGTTCTTCAGTAATAAATCGTTCTAGTGGTATGGTTCGTAGACGAGTTTCACTAGGTAATTCATGATTTGTTCCATTGTTCATATCTTCAAACTCTTCTGTTTCAGCGAATTCATTGTAATAATTACAACCAATACCTAACTAAGAAATTGAATTTAAGGACAAAAGCGATAACGATTATAACGACAATTTTCACTTGTTTTTCTAGTTAATTAAAACCTTACCAAATATGGATGCCGATAAACTTGTAGTGATAACAGTGTATAATGTGAATAACAGAACTTTTATGGACTTTTTTTGACAAAACATGATGTCAATCAATCACTAAACAAAACTTACTAATGAGTACTTAAAATATTTCTTTTGTTAGTAGTTATTTGCTAAACAGTAGTATACAGCTTGTAGCAAACAAACTATCTAGACTACAGTTTATGAACGACATTTGACGTTGGGAAAATGTTACCACTTATCTGGCTTAAATAAGGTTAGAAAATAGGATCAACTGTTAGGTTTATCATAACGAACTGATACCAGCTGTAGTGCAGTCATGACATATAGTAATATGAATGTGATGAACTTCAGACAGAATTCCAACAGGTGCTATTCGATTTGCTCGTTTATAGATTGTAGTCTCGCTCGAAAAATGTTCCCTACTAATTGAAGTAGCAAAATTGGTAAACATGATATAAAATTCTTTAAAAGTGAACCAAATAGTGATCAAATTTGATCAGAAATTTCATATGCAACTTAATAACCATATACGCAGATCCATGTAGTAGACCATAAAATATCATTACTGATAAAGTATAGCTAAGTAAACTTTACTAAGTAGGAACGAACCAAAGACTTTCTCGTTATCTAGTTAAACATGTTAACTAATAAGTCACAATATCACAAGATGAGCAAAATATGCCAAAATATTTTAATTGAATGCAACTTTGCTTAACGTATTATTAGATAATTGAATTAAATGTAGATAGCGATGAACTATGAGATGATTTCATCCAACATTGATCGCCACCATTAACATGAACAAAATATTACATTGTTTAGATATTCGAATGTATGAAGCGCATATAAAAAGCTACAAAATATTCGAGGCAAGTGCATAACAATCCTTCCACACACATACACATATTAAACACTCATTTTATTGAATAATTTTAATAACTAACAAACCAACATTCATCAGTTAACCTAGTTTTAAATAAGAGGAACGTAAAAATACCAAACTGGGTTTATTACCTATATATATGCTTCACATGTAGGTACAGCTAATATGTAAATAGATCACTAAATACTAAAACAATAACCATGAGCTTATAATGTTGCTTCATTATTTTAGTTATAATAAAAAAGGTAGATGTTCGTGGAATTTCTAAGCACATCCTAGAGAATCAGGTTTTCGGAATGAGAGTTTCATCAAGCCTAATTTAACCGTATGAGTACGGTTTACAGTTGAGATCAGATTTTCAGGATACGATGTATCATCTAATAAGAATTATGTATTTGAACTTATTCTAAATTATTTAAGGTGCGTAAGAATGATTGCATTCACTCTCTCACTGTCCCTCTTTTTACACATTCATATATGCATTTGTGTTTTTGTGAATTGACTAACAAATTATCTCATCTTTTCGTAGGTATGAATAAACCCATAACTTATGAGAGATATTCCAAAGTTCATTTAAATTGAATTCGATATGGCTGACAGAATATATAATAATACTAGAACCTTGTGCAATAGATTATGTAACGGTATTTAAAGTTGCAGGAGTTTGAAATAAATGATTAAGGAAAACAGAACAATAATCGGTTCGATAGATATAATATTGATGTTCGTCATTAATTGGTGGAAAATAAAGGATTAGTTTACGGGAACGATAGATATTGATTTGAAACTATTAATTCTATGGTCTTTAATCGTTGTTACTTGAATACGGCTTGAAATCAAATGACTAAACCTGTACTTATTAAGTGAGAATAATATTCGAGATGGTAGGATGCGCCCAAATAAATGGCAAGACTTTAGAATTAGCCTAACCGTTTTGATTGATACAAGTTTAGAATCTTGTCAGTTAATTAACAATATTATCGAAAAAGATACATTAGTCAGTGAAATAGTTGAGAGAAATTGAGTCAACCTGACAGTAATTTAACATCAAGAACTAATATTGATCGATAATTTGGTAAGGGTCAAAAAACCTTTACCAAATGGACCTCTTATGTAATCAAGAATTTTTAAAAACAATGGGATCACATAACCCATTTCTCTGGACAAGAAACCGGTGGATAATCACTGAGTGGTGTACGATTTATGTAGTGCAATCCTAGTGGCAAGTGTCAGCGACTCAGTAAGTAGATTGCTGTGTATGCGTAAACCAACCGTCTCAGTCAAAAAAGGTTCAGAAATGAAATGATAGACTGATACCCAAAAATGATTTAGTCATGCTTCGAATTCACTGAAATGAAAACTATTTATTTATGCAGTTATCCATTAATGGCATGATGGAACTCTTTGGAGCTCCAATAAATGTACGTTACGGACATGTGATCTAGGAACTGAGTTAAAAGTTACACATACGACTCTGTACTTACAGTATTTACATTACTACTGTACTTTTGGCAAAGAAACCACCTTGAATACACTTCCCAAACATGTGCTAATAAAAGATGCAAAAACAAACTCATTTGTTTTTTCCAACTAATTTATTCATTCGAATTACAGTGGGTGATTCTGATCTAACAATCTAGAACTAAAACTTCTTAGTAGTACTTGATTTTTTAAAGTTGCGAACCATACACACACACACTCTCTCTGTTACACACACGTAGAGTAGTTTATCATGAATTCATGAAGTATTTTACAGCACTAACAAAATGTGAGCACACAGCAGAAGCAGCGGTGGACTGGTCAATACTTATAAATTGGTAGGTACATTAATAAACAATGTATTGATCAATATTAACCGCGAATTTTAATTCGTGATAACACTACACATCAAAATAACATGTAGTTTTAGTTTATCAAGCTAAATTACTTGAAAAGGAAATAATGAGACATTTAGATAAAGTATAAGTGGGAGTAATGAGTTAGACATTTCGGAATGTGTAATATGTGTGTCAGTCGTTAAACGCTCAAGGCATCACCAGCCAACCGACCTAGTAGTTGCCACACTAGCCTTTCAACCCCACCAGGATACAGACTTAACAGTTTCGCCATGCAAAGGCAATTGTTGGCAGACAATGATAAAAATAAGTACTTGAAAATCAGTACATCTTCTGCCTTCATGGGTTAAGAGATGAATTCAAAGCATAAATAAGAAATTTCAATAGCGTTAACGAGTGTTCCTCTGCAATGATAGAATGAATGAGACACACACACATACTACCACCGACATCAATCCCGTAGTTGAAAAGTTGACTACACAATTGGACAAGATCTTTTGACAGAAACCCTATGTTTAGTACACATGCATTTTATAAAATGGGTAACATCAAAAACAAATATTCATAAATTTTTCATATTTAATAGTTGAATTCATGAGTCAATTAAAGCTAGACCACTATGGAAAACCTGGAAGTACTGGACAGCCGTTTCATCCTAGTATATGGGACATTTTCATATTATCACAAATTAAATATTAGTGTTTATACAACCTCCTTATTTGCATTTTCATAGCTTAAACTAATCTTATTCACATATATTATTATTATAACACCTGCCAATGTTTTATTCAGCACTCAGCCCTATTTACTAATTCGTACCTAATTCATATTATTCTACATATTACATGATTTCTAATTTGTAATCACATTATTATCTCTCTCACACCATGTTAACCATATTTATTCTGATCATTAACCTCATAATTTCATTTAACGTATAAACTTAGTCAAGTCAATACTCCATACTAGTCATCCAAACATTATGATTTTTATTTTATAATACAAATAATTTTTAAACGATGTATTTTGCCTTAAACCTGGTCATATTCTTCGATCATTAATTTGGATATACAATTGTAGAACTTGGAAAGAAATTATTTAAAAAAAAAAGAATTATCATCGTTCATATATCTCTTGTGTAAGAAAAACTGATTAGCACTCGCATCTAGATCATTGAATGATTAATCAGTCAGATTAATGAATGTATATAACGTGACATAGATGCATAAACAATACATGAAAAGTGTATTTAGATTAAAAAAAGATTAAGCGCTCGCGCGCGAGACTGATAGGTCCTGAGCTCGAATCTCGCGGGTGGCAGGATCGTGGATGTGCAGTGCTGAGGAGTCCCATACTAGGACAAAACGGCCGTCCAGTGCTTCCAGGTTTTTCATGATGGTCTAGCTTCAATTGAATCATGATTTCAACTATTAAAAAAAGTTTGTACAAACATCCATTGCATCATAGCAATTAATATTATCCTTAACGTTATGAAGCTAACTAATCAATCGTAGGTGCACACAGATAAGTTCCATACTAAGACGAAACGACTGCCCAGTGCTTCCAAATTTTCAACGGTGACCTAACAATGACCGGTTCATGATTTAAATGAAAATCAATATGAATAATATCGCAACGACCTGTAAGTTAACGTTTTCGAGATCCAGATATATTTTCTTGATTATGGTATCATCGGTTCACCCTATATTATCTTACTAACAATGCTCATATAAGTAAACCAAAAACAAAGAAATTTAGTGATATACTTATATGATGACTTTATTTGATGACGCAAATAGGAGATAGGACGGGGGATGTTGGCAAGCATTAATGAACAGAGGGAAATCAACTACAATCTTCAATAAAATTTGAACTATCAACCCACAGAAAATCAATATTACTTTAATCCAACAAGCGACTTGGTAAAATATATGCATTAGTCCTCCGTTGCCAAGTAATATATTAACGCAGCAAGAAAAGAAACTAAATAACTAGGGCGGGAGAAACAGGGTAACTAAATGTCGATTCTAACACGTGTATAAAATCATCATCGCTATTGCCATACTATCAGGCTATCTGCTAAATAAGATGCAATCGCTATGATGTAAACTGACTCAAAATTGATCGACCGGTTTGATTGACTAGGATACTTGATACAGGGGTTGATTAGTCAAGTGAATAATTGGAATTCAGCAGAGAACTAAGGTGTTTATTGTATCCCATTAACTAACTGACCACAAGACCTGTAGCTGATGACGCTTTAATCTTAAGTTTGGAATGTCGAACACATACACCACTGGATATCTAATTGGTTTCAATAACCAGACAAATCTACCACCAACCTTGAAGCCTAAACAAATACAGACGGTAAAAATGGGATAGTAGGTTTGCTTTTAGGATTAGTTCAGTTACAGAAATCTGGGAGTATTGAAGCCGAAACTAAGAATTTCTGGAAAACACTAAGATCAATAATAATAAATGTAGGTACTCCATTAATCAGATTTAAAATGAACAAATAAATACACATAACTGTTTCTGGGTTTCACAGGGCATTTCCGAAAAGTCCTGGTCAACTAAAAAGTAATTCTGGAATAATTTGCAACTTCTTGAGGAAAATACTTTGATTAATATAATTACAATTACTATCTCTAGGATGAAGAATTATCAGTTTAGTATAGTTATTTGAAGTGTATGTGTTTGAATACGCACAATTCATTATAAAAGAATGTAAAATACGGAAATGAGCAACATGTGAAGTGGGGAAAACCACTACAAGTACTACGGCCCAAATTAATTTTAGCCACAAGATCTACCATTCAATCCAGTTCCAAATGATAAAAGTGAAAACTAATGATAAATACGATGGACAGCTATCAAGTGTTCTCTAACTATTATTGAGCTCTCTGAGCTAGGTGGTTTCATCGTGAAGCTTTCTGTTTCTTTCTAGACAATATCATCAGCACTAACTTCAGGTAGAAATGATCTATAAAGAATTTCCGTAGATTACATCAATTTTTTAGCAAGAATTTCTTTCAACGTCACTCTAAACTTGCTTGATGCAAGTTTGTTGTACGTGAAACCATGTTAATTATAAGCAGTAGTAATTGCAAAAAATAAGAAAATATCGGAAAATAAACGCGATCAGTCAAAACATCCATACTTTAGAATCAAATTGTTTTTTTGCATATTCTTCATGAGGATTATAAACTTCTAAATTCTCTTGAATCAAATTATCCATTTCTGTATTGTGATTTGCAGTATTTACAGGAGTAACTGTAGTAGGTGTAACCACAGGTGTATGACGAACGACTGTGGCCTAATTAATTAAAAACGAGAGGAGGGAGAGAGGGAGAATATACAGGATAATAAAGCGTTACTCAATATTATTCAACTTACCGAAAAGAAAGAAAGGATTTCATAAGCAAAGTGGAAGAAAGTATGGTAGTAAAAATAAAAATCTCATGTACAATCTCACCTTTAATTAGTCTTAAAATGCTGTGTTTGAATTTTTTAGATCATAGTGAATGACCAGATAAAAGTCTGCGATCAGAGGGAAACAATTTAAGCTCATCTGTGAGTGTACATAAGTGTGTGTGTGTGTATCGCTGATGATATCTCTTAGGCATGGCCTCCTTACATATAAAACGTATTTAATGTTGATACTCGTGCTAAGCCACTAAAAGTATGTTCATCAGTAGAACTGATAACACCAAACACAAAGTCTTTTTAGATAATAACAGTAACTCATGTTGATGATGGTCACTGTTAACAAGTAAAAAAATATGGCTCAAAACTTCGGTACTAATTACTTCTGAATATGGAACATAATAGTGGAAATACCGTAAAAGTGTTAAACAATCCCAGTAAATTCAACTGATGTGACGTCATATAACATTGCAAAGTAGCACTTGGAGCTCTATGTGAAATATATTCTCTGTGTTCAGTATCACGTAATTTGACTGAGTTCTCACATATCACTTTAAAACCAAGCGAACAGAAAACCAACTACGGTAGTTGGAAGTAGTCAACAAGAAGCTCTAGACATAAATTTTATATTAGACGGCACTCTTCAGCAAGGTGTGGTCTATAATCCTGATCGCTGTGGGATTTGGACCTGGAACAACCAGCCCAACAGAATGGAACGTTACCGCTGAGACTTTCGGGCCATGAGTGACCTACAGAAAGGCTGAGGTACTTATAACTGATTGATTTTCGAGTAGTGACCAATCAAGCTGTGATGTATGTTACCTGTTATAAATACTTACATAAGAATCTTCTACCCAATGATCCAATGGTTGTGGATGAATTTCTATCTCACATGCAACATCGTTTTCATCGATTGTTGTTACATCCGAAGCTAAAACAGAATGAAATTCTCAAATAATGTTATGGAATGGGACATACCTCATCGTTTTAGATAAATTGCAAACAAAAATTTAATTAAGGTTAACAAATTTACGATTAGTCAGATTTAAGCTAAATGTGATCACCAACAAAACAACTGGTTTCACTGATGTTTTTAATTTGTCTACGGCCTTATCAATATGCTGATAATCGATTTACCTGTCAAGCTAATTTTTAGACCATTACTACTATGATGATTTCAATCTCATTATTATTCAACTTGCTAATTATATATTATGTTAATTTGGTATGGGGACTTGGGCCGTTGCACATTTGTGCCACGCTCTTAGAAGAATTATGGCTGACTAGTGTTTTACTAATCACTGAAGTGAATCAAAGTTTACAATTAAAGAGCAGAATAATAATGACAATAAGATGTGTACAAAAACAACCAGAACGACGAGATGATTATTCCTGTGTGAGACAATCAGTCAAATTGCAGAACTGACACAACATAGAAAAAATTACTCAAAATAGTACGAAGCTCAATTTATCAAAACACCAAGTAATGTTGAAACACCGAGTTTCCATTTATGTACGAACAATATTTACACATACAAGAGCAGAGATTAATATTAGATTACTGTCAATAAATTATTACCAAAGCATATTACTTACTCGAAGAAGATCTTGATTCTATTCGTAAACGCTGTGAATTGTAATGAAATTTTTGAAAAGAAAATAAATTAGCAGTTAAGTTGGATTACTAGGTAAACAGTGAATCGTATTAAATGATACTGAAAAGAAGACATTTGATTAAACTAACTGTTTATGATAGGAACGATGAATTTTAGGAAAACACTGATTATATTGGAGAATAAGACAAAAGTCATGCAACGAGACAGAATAAAAGACAAATGAAAGTGACAACAGTTAGTGAAAACTTTCAGACAACATTTAATGGATAAAAACAACACTACAAAGCAAATAAAGGATGCATCAATTGAAGAATTACTTCATTGAGACTATCAACGAATTCGGTTATTTGCTCTTGAGACGAATCTTTAGACATATCTTGTTGGTCAAATGACAATTCATCCACCAGTATTTCGTTGTATTTATGACACTCTTCTTGATTAATTGAAGCTTCCGATGCATAATCTTCATCATTACCATCAACATAATCATCATCATTCTCTTCCATTACAATGGACATACGATCAGGATACCCAATGACAACTTGTTTTATTTCCACATTACGGCTTGATATTAGATTATTATCAGCCGTTTGTGATGGCTGATATCCGATATCACCACCACTACCACCACCACCACCATTATTATTATTAACAAACGCTTTCTCTGCATTTTGTTCATAATTATCATCATCTGATTTTAATTGCTTTTTTCCTACAGATATTATTTGTTGGTTATCCATCGAGTCCGATAACAATTTCGCAATGTCGAATAATTCATCCAAAGTGTCATATTCATCATCACACTGTGTCACATCGGCTGTGTTATTTTCGCTATCAATGAGGGAATTAGACTTATTATCTGTAGAATTTATTAATTTCAGATTTTTAAACACAATTTCATCGTCTTCTGTTTGTTTATTGGCAATATTATGATGGGCATTAATTGAAGAAACCAGCTCTGGCTTACACTGAGTATCACTCTACAAGTAGACCAGTAGTAGAGGGGTGGGTCAAAACAAAAAGGAACAAAACAGATAGAATGACATTTGATTAGATAATGATGTGCAACTTATCATCATTAAAAACAAACGAATGTATTTACATAAGAGTTCTCGTTACAAATTAATATTAGTTGTAGAGGCGTTAAAAACTACAGTCTGGGGGGAGGATTTGCTTAATTTTAAGGTTTATCCAGGAGTGTATAGACACCTATGGTGTAAACGAGATTAAACTCAGGGCCTTCAGGAATTGAAAAAAAACAATATATGGTCGTGTGATCAAATCAGAATATGAAAATCCCCGATTTCACATTCATCGGGTGATAATCGTGAAAACTATATCACTCCTCCCGCCAAATTAATGGATTCCACAAGTCAGTTTCCTGCTACGGCATACGGATATTTAAATTAGAATGATGTAAACTGTAAATACTCTTTACAACTACTCATTTTCGGATAAACCAACAATATATCGACACAGTTTAAACTAATTCTAGTGAATAAACCGTTACCATTACTAGTGTGTTGAGGGAGCAACCAACATTCCTTTGTGAGTAATGTAAAGTTTGAACAATCGAGACTGTTCAACTAATTTATGTCGATACAAAAAAGTCCACATCATTTAAAAGAAATACAAAGCAGGAAAACAGTACCAACGACACTCTATTCCGCTGACTTAAACAATAAGTGTTTCAGCTCAACTGAAAGGTTAATTACTGAGGAAATATTTTTAATTTAGGATAAAAGATATTGATGCGTAATTATTATCACACCTTTTGGAAGTATTGCTAAGAAACTTTCATATCATTATTTTCATTTAATCTAGTTGTTTAGAGTTAAGAATTACAAAAAGGAAAAGAGAAGTTACGTATAAATTGATAAAACTTAGCAATAAGTAAAAATATATCTAAACATTTTACGTTGGTTTACATAAAGAATGTTTTACCACTCAGCAACATTTCAATAAACTAAATTGAACTTTTGCTTCTCTTTGAAGGGCATACATTTTATTCAGGATAGACGTAATTTGATAAACTATTAAAAGCCAAGAAATTACAGATAGATATTGTGGTATACTCTCCACTGTTCAATAAGAGTTAACAATAGCAAGCTATCTGACGACAAGACACAGAACTATTAATGTTCATGATAACGGCAATGTTATCAGGACAATAAGTTAGAATTCAAAAGAGTTTACCTCAAGATTTTCGAGTATACATTATACTGTTTGAGGACAGTATAAACAATAGAAGTGGTGGAGGTTGTGAAGTATCCGAAACCTTCAAATACGAAACATCTAGATAGTTTCATACTTATTTTCTAACTATTCTTCAGATAATCGATTCATTTAAAATAATCAATTTTCTGGAAAAAAAACCCTTCCTTTCAACCAATCTTTTTATTTGAGGTACAAATCAGACAATCAATTGTAAAAGGTAACATACTACATGTATGATTAGTGAGAAAGCAAAAAAAACCAAACGACTGGTTTTCAAATAAGTGCTTTAATTGTTTGTATACCACCATGTTTGATAGAAAAAATCCGAAAATAGTGGAACAGATATCAGTTGAAATACTTATCAGCGCGTTATGAATCCTCTAATTTCGTCAGTTAATAATTACTAGTATTTTTAATAGCACGCGCTACGTATTCTTCAAAAAACATAAAGCACTTTAAGTAACTGACAAAATACATTATTATACTAATTAATAATGATGCGTGCATTTTAGTAATGTAATGCGACAAATGCTTCCAAAGAATTGATGTTTAAAAAAAGCTGAAGTTAGGCATAGGTTATTATGTAAAGAACTGCAGATCTCTTGATTGACATCCACGTATTAGTCACTTATGGGTGGAAACAGCAAAATGGCTTAAGATGACTAAGTATAGAAAACGTACTTATGATATACTTCCCTTCCAATTTCCATTCTCCAATGTTATTTATTAATTTCAAAGTGCATCTTTGTGGTGTTTTCACTACCAATGATGTTAATTAGATTATCTTTTAGGGCGTTGTTGCTGAGAATTGTGCTGACTGGAATCAGTGGACATCTCTACGAAAAGTCCTACTTTGTCCATAGCTAACTAATAAACAAGTACACTTATTTAATATAACTTGAAAATACAGTAAATAAATAATTTTCCTCTAAAAAAACGTGAAAAGAAGCTCATCTTTGTATTGGTTGTTTGAATCTTCCCCCCAAATACCTGGTACGGCCGAGAGTGGCGAAAGTCCGCTCTCCCTCTCGAAATGTTCTCACATGGCCACACGTATATAGCCTCCGCCAGGGAAGTCCTGCTCACTGCCTTCTCGCACCACGGGTGTTGTTGACGAAATTGAGAGGACGAAAAGCGAACGTCCGGCGCTTTAACCGGGTTGGTAGACATGGAGAATCCACCTAGGGGAGTTGGAAAACCCTGATTCTAAACCAATGATGCACATGGGCTCCAGGATTCTGAAGGGACAAATGGCGTATGAAGTAATTGTCGATCACCGGCTACCATGGGACTGCATCTCCTTACGATGGTCCACTGCCTTGTGGACCAGACCATGTCAAAGGCTCCGGGTGTGGCCCCCTTAGAAAACTACCTGCTTCGGTCTGGGCACTCGGGCAGTATCAAAGCCCTCACACATATCAAATGAAATATGTGTGGCGCATATGTATTTGGTGTCTCCTTGTACCAATATCTATAAAATAAATAAATCTTCCCATTGGTGTTTAGGCCTGCAACTAATCAGTCTCTTATTGGCATATGTGTATCCTGTGCGGATCGCCTCGATATTGCCTTGAGTCCCAAGCATCATAAGCAGAGATGAATCTTGACTAGCGATAAATTGTACTGTTATTTAAATAACTGATATGTTGAATTATTATTTTCGCAATTTAAACAGTTGTTTATATTTTTAGTGAATATAACCTGTAAATTAATCCCATGCATATCAAAATTTTTTATAGATAATAACTCCAAATTTTAATAAACAATCCAGGTACACAAAAGTAGTCGTGTGTGAATTGTTAGCTATCGTCATTGAGAGTGAAATAATGAAGCATAAAAAAATGAATTACAATTTTTCCACTCGATTCATTTCTGATATTTTGTTGTTCAGATGTCAATTATTTATATAGTTCTTGACATAAACATGATCAGATTATATTTATTCACGTTACGGTCTTTGGAAAAGAATTTCGTAATAATGTCTCTTATGAATGAACATACAGCTAAACTTCCAATGTTTAGTGTGACAAAACAAGAGTTAAAGTATTTGCTACTATTGAAAAATTATTATTATTTAAGTCAATTTTCAAGTATTGAGGTAACATACAAGTGAGGCAGCTACTCACTAGGTACAATGGGAGGTCGTTGAGAGATATTAAAAGTTGATTTAAGTTAAACATGCAAATCAATGGATGCCGGCTCAGCAGTCTAGGGGACAAGCGATCACGTGTGAGACCTAAGACCCAGAGGTCATGGATGCCCACTGCCAAGAATTCTCATACCAGTATAAAACAGTGCTTCCTGGTTTTCAACGGTTATTTCAGTCAGTCAGTAACAACGTAGAACTTCGTACGTACGTACGTACGTCAGTTCGAGTTGCCACACCACATTAGCACAGAGATGCAGTTGTCGATTCAAATCCCGTAGTGGTAGAGGCGGTAAGAGTATAGGCAGTAATCGGAAACATTAGTGTTTGAAGATAATTCAGTGAAATAAATTTGGAGAGAGAAAAAAGACAAGGAGGATTCAAGATATTAGAAATCGGGAGAACACAAAGAGTGGATGCACCAGAGCCTTTGCAAACGATTTTGAGCCATGTCATTCAGGGTCTCTAATCATAGGTTGCTATCATCTCGCGGTCCCCAACCAGGCAGTCTACACCTAACAACATGACTCAGTCCAATTGTCAGTGACTTCATGAACTTGTGCCAGGTTTTGGTCTGGCCGCCCCTAACTTTCTTCCAACCTATTCCTATACCACTGAACATCGCACGTCGAGGTAGTCGGTGGTTGGGCATACGTAACACGTGTCCCAGCCATCTCAAGTGATGAAGTTTCACTACTTCAATTAATTTGCCATCCTTACCAAGTACCCGTTTCCTAACAACTGCGTTACTTACTCGATGGTCCCAGAATATACGAGCAATGTTTCGAAGACACCTATGATCAAATACTAGTAACCTACCACAATCGATTGATCACTGGGTGGTGATCAATGTCATGTGTGTCAAGTCCTTATTTAGTGCAGATCGAATGCTCTCAACCATCCGCCAGGGAGCACCAGTTCCCTCAAGATTACAGGTACATTTTGCTGACGAGTGCCAAGTAACACGGAACCCGGGTCCAGGGTTTCCTGTCGACTGCCTCCAACCACCAACTAGTAACCTACGAACATCTACTCTTACCGGCCATGTTTCACTGCCATAAAGTAGGACGGAAAGAACCGCCGCGTAGTAAATACGTCCTTTGTTTGACAGACGGATATCTCGCCTACTCCATAAATGACGCAAGTTGGCAAAAGCTAGTCGAGCCTTCTTTATCCGTGCTGAGATTTCGTTACACATCAGACCATAAGGGCTTATGAGACTTCCAAGATAAGTGAAGCGGTCGACATACTCAACTACTTCACTCCGTATCATCAGTTCGGTAGTTTAATTAATATCAGCCCGTCATCCAAATTACAAGATACGAGTATTTGACTGGTAAACATTCCATATGAATATTAAAATCAGTCAAAAACATAATGTTTGTAGACAAATTGAATATAAAACTTGGTGGCTTCAGGAGTTTTAGTGATTCTCGAGTTCTATTCTAAATGTTCATCGGAGGAAACAACTCCAATTGTTGATTTTAGGAAGCTGTTCAACTAAGCTAAAGGCTTAATAACTAATATGAATCCTTTGAACTATTCTAACGCACGTATTTATGGTGATCAATTCAGTTTTCATGAAATTATTTCAATCCAATTTAATGAAACTCGGTAATCTAGTACAAGTTATTATCGTATGAAATATGAAAAATACGCATAAAATAGTATGATAAGAATTGGAAAAACTCAAGTTAGCCAACTTTAATCATGTCTTTTATACGATGATGATATGAAAATGTAATTATCTCAACAAAACATATCACTACTATGAAATCTATGTGAAAACTGTGTTAGCAACCTGACACAAACAGTAGTGTAAGTGTTTACTTATGATTTTTCATTAGTTCAGTGGATGATTTTACTAAACAACCGTATTTGATTGTTTTTTTTACATCGTGTACACGAGAGAAACTAAAATAACATGGCAATTTTTAACGAGTTTTAATTCCTATAAAAAAAACTATTAAAACTAAGTTGTATAATTTCTGTAGTGTTAACACAAAAATCCTAACATTTCAATAAAGGTAATTGCTCAACGGTCAAAAAACACTGATTACTGTTAATGGATTTTTAGAACGAGGATATACCTGACAGGTGGTTTTCAAGTTTGGCTGAGTGGACACTCAAAAGTCAGAGGGTATCAACCAGATGGTATTAAATTCTGCCTAAAGGAATTTACATATCCTTTGTCACGTAGCACCACAAAACGTTTCTTCATGTGTAAAGACGTATTCGCTATTTGTACGTTCAAATACTAGTTACACAGAAAATTCAACTGCCCATTGAGATATCTTACTTTTATTAAAACGTAGTGGAAACATTTCGACTAGTTTAAATTCACACTGTAAGAATAAGCGGAAACTATTCAAAACAAAATAAGCATCACCATACCTTACTCACTTAGTCATGTGATAACTAAGTATCCAACAATGTATGATAAACTATTCAACATTATTGTTTTAGTGACAATCTCATCCACAGTGCACAATTAAAACATAACCGTGGGAAATAAATCTAATAAATACTCATTACTTTATGTTATAGAAATATAGATGATTTTTACGTCTACTCACTCCATCATGCTGATTTTCTTGTTCGTGTATAATTATTGCCAATTCTCTTTGATCATCATGTTCATTATATGAATCCATCTTGTTAAATAGTTTTTAAAGGACTAAAAAACACAGAATGAACAGTTTTGACAACTGAATGTAAATAACTACTTCAATTGTTGCTTAATTTTATCATAGTAGTCCTAAAAATGGGGAAATTAATGTAAGCAATGCAAACTAAAACGGATTGCATGAGCTAAAATCTTGGTGACATGGAAAGATGATTATTCATTAACTTATTTAAACACATAAACATTGGTACAAAGAAACACCAAATATATATGCGCGACACAAATCAAATTATTTGTGTAAGGGCTGAGATACTGCTCTGGCGCCCAAACCGAAGAAGGGTTTATTGCAAGCTTACTGAAGTTTCTACACACCTAAAACCGTTGATTGGAAGGCTAAGAAACACAAATCCTGGAAAAACAAGGCAACAAAAAGATGGACCATCCAAACGAAGTGACAATGCTGTAGAGAATTAAAGGATATAAGTGTAGCACAATCGAAAAATGAGTATGAGAAGTATTTATCAAAACACAGCTCTACAAAAAAAATGATTTGGTCAAGTGAGATCGTATCACTTGCATAAAAATTGTAATGAGTAGTTACAACATCATCCTTAGTCCTCTATTGTAAGATTATTGATAACATTTTCAGCTACACCACCTCTACTACCGTCGCCAAGGAACCGAGATGAACTCATATATCCTAGTTCTATCGATCCATCGGTCAGGATAAAGTGTCATAAACTGACCACCTTTCGGTCTTTTAATCCAATTCTAATATCAGCAAGCAATTCACGACAAGAAGTTCGTTGAGATGACATCGTAGAGCATGATCAAACCGCTGAAGTCGGTGTTGCAGATTAATGGCACCAACTGAGTTAGTCTGACTATCCATATTTCATACCGCTTTTCAGTTAAATATAACAACCTCAGTTGTAACGATTGTTTTCTGGTGACGCAATACTTGGTGCTGGTCATATCAGTGGTCTCTCTACTTGTTTTACTGCTAAAACTTTCCAGTGATTTTCAATGGTTGGTGGACAGTTTTATTAGCGGCATTATCTAACATTCAGTGACCAGTATGTTGTAGATGCCGACGAGAAATTTTCCGAATTTAGTATCGACGGCTTTAACTATTGGGTATGGTCGCAAACTACTCGTCTGAAAAAGAAATAAGCTGTTGGTACCGAAGATAACAACAAAATATATATCCATTAAATGTATAGTAGTAATAGATGATTCCTGAAACAAACAGACGACTGGAAGTAGTGCAAGTAAAAAAAAAACATTTTAGGCTGGATCCAATCAGTAATTAGCAAGATTCAGTTTATTGTCTTTTAATGGATCCAATGCTGTTTTCTAATACAGATGTAGTGTTTCAAATTGAATCCCAATGAAATGATCACGAGAACCCTCAGTATTCCCATTAAGATTTCCCAATAATAATCAATATGAACAACAACTACTAAACATCAGGCATATTTGGATAGGATGGAAATTAGTTTTCAAGTATAGATATCATATGGGTATTTTGGCAGAAGGTATGTGCTGAATTGCATGAATTAACGATCCCTCTAGTGTCTAAGTGGTGTGTCGGCGGAGTGAGTGATGAGGTTAATTCACTTGTAGTGAAAGCTAAAGAGGCTTATGCTAATCTCGGTCGTCTTTGGTGCCTTCGTGATGTTAGTCTGGCTGTAAAAGGTCGTATCTACAACGCGTCAGTGAGAGCAGTTTTGCTCCATACTTGTGAAACCTGGCCTCTCCGAGTTGAGGGTACTAGAAGACTCTCTGTGTTTGATCATTGTTGTCTTTGGAGGATTGCTGACATTCAGTAGCAACACCATGTTCCTAATGCTGAGGTTCGGCATCATGTGTCTGAGCACTGCGACAATAATTCGATTAGCGTCACTATCTTCAAAAATTGGCTTCGATGGCTTGAACGTGTCTCGCGGATGTCGTCCCAGAGAATTCCACGTTGTGCATTATTTGCTGACACTGAGGCTGGTTAAAAAAAAGCAGAGGTGGTCAGTATATGGTGTCGTGCTATGAAAGAAAGTTGTACAAGAATGGCTTCTGTTGTCTCTTCGCGACTCCTTGGCTGGGGCCCTAGATATAGTACAACACTGGCTAGAATCGTCATCAGCCATGGCTCAGAATAAAAGCCAGTGGCGATCCTGCTGTAATTTCCTCTTACTTTAGCGAGACTCTAATTTAAGGACGAGCCAAACAAAGGCGTTTTAGAGATTTCAAGGTTACGGCGCCCACTTCGGTGCTTAATGCTAACGTACGATCGGTTCACAGAGAATTTTGTACAAAGCGTGATAATTGAGCGACTATGACAAATAAAACGGCGGGACTATAATTTCTGGACGAAACAATCAGGTATAAGATAATAGATCTCGGATTTTAACGCGAAAGCCTTTTATCCATTTGGCTGGATAAATTCCTTGCATTATAGCTGATGTCAGTTCGTGATGAAAACCCCATATATAATTCCTAAGGCAAATTACGACAGTTATTGCGAACTGGATAATACAAGCACCAGTGACAGTGGCTGCAGCCAGGTACTACAATATATACGGATGTTTAGAGGACGTACAGACTCCTACATAGGCTTGGTTATGTGCATCGTGTCGTTATCCACAAGTAGCATTTTCTGCACTCAACAACCGGAGTGCACATAAACAATATTGAAGCTATGTGGTCGAGGCTGAAAAAGTTTTTGAGACTTTATCATGGTTCTAGAGGATGACTATTCTGTAGCCGTATGGATGATTTCCTCTAATGCATGCATTACGATTTTAGAACCTCTTTCTAACCTTGACAAGTTTTTGAACCACGTATAAGAAGTGTATCCACTTTACTTTCTTGGTTTTGTATAAAATATTTTTATTTTACAATGTCTGTTTGCTGGTTGGCTAATATTTCTCAAGGTTACTTAAAGTTCGTTCAAAGGTCGTCCATAAATAAGTCTCTCAGAAACTGTCTCCCAAAATTATTATTAATATTACTATTACTTAACTCTTATAAACCAAATCCATTTTCATTTTTGTTCTTACTCATTACACGCACTTTGCATTCTCTGTCTCTTCACAACCTCAATAATAATATGTGGGCCATATGCATTTGTTTCACCCTTGTACCAATATTTGTGTCCAAATAAATAAGAATTTAACCAAAAACGTAGAAACAATGTAAAAGTTAAAGTTTCGCACCAGCCACTTTGGTTACCTTTAGCTAAGCATCTGTATATCCCAACAACTTAACACAATTTACCGATATACAGCCGAAATTCTTTAATTGCAGGTATTCATAACCACTGGAAAATATTGTACTACAATGCCTCGGTTAGGGTTGGGGTAAGCAGTACTAAAGTGTGTAGACCACAATGGATTATTACGACGCAAATTATGGCGTGAAAAAGCTTTACCAATAACAGTAACAAAACTGAGTCTATTGCAATAGTTTTACGTAGGAAATGATTTAGAAGAATACTAGTCGACATGTTACACCAGAGGTGACCAGTAATCACTTAAAAACCAAGTCGAGCGTTATTCTTGTCAGAAGGAGAAGCAAAATATTCCTACCGGAAATTTCGAAAGACACGCAATCGCATATAAATTCACGTCGTATCGACATCTAGATTTACTGGGAGCAGCTATAACTTACGAATTGCCGCCACCGATAGCTTAACCTGCTGAATAGGTATTAACGATTTCAATAAACAAAAAGATTTTATGTAATTTGGCTAAAGTTTATTTGGATTGTGAACAACTGAATTGCTCTTAGTTTTCATCTCCCATGAACCGAAAGGAATGAACAAAAGGAGAAATCGAGAAGTAATATAGAGTGGCCAGCTTCAATTATTTTGGAGCTGAAATATGTATCTTTTAAGTGAACCAACGAAAGTTATAATTATGAATATTTCAATTGGCAATTCCACTGGTCTTTAATATAAATAACGAAGTCAACTTTACGAATTTTAGTATTCATTTTTTTGTAATATACCCCAGGAAGATACACCTCAGATGTAGTTTACTTCATAAATATCCTAATAGTCTCTTAGAACAAAGACAATTATAGTGATACCAAGCACATTTATAGCATTTACAGTGTTTTCACGCACTTAAAAAGTGATAGTTCTAATGTCTACAAGTGAGATGAGTAGTATATTTGACAGGCTTCCTGAAACGAATTGTTTTATATGCAACGAGAGCTGGTAATTTCCTAGTTAGTTATACAAATCAATTAGTCATACCATGAAAAATCCACATTTGGGGATCACGTTTATCATTCCAGATCCATAAATAACTGAAAAGCTATAGACCTAGATATTGAATCACGCAGCAATTGCTGGAACTGTTGTTGGGGTGAACATTTCATAGATAACAGTAGTCATGCAGACCACGATATGTCGAAGACTCCATAACATAAATCATTTCTGTCACATATTAAAAGACAGAGAATTGATAGTTTGCAAGGGTCGTAGTAATATTAATACTTCATCCTCATAAATATCTAACCAGTGTATCAGAAGCGGAGGTCAATAAACTTTTCGTGCCTATAGGTAACACGCCTGCTAGTGATAGAAGAAACCAGACAAGTAGTGAATAGGTCTTTGTTTTTCTTCGCGCACTCACAGTGGAGCGTGGGATTATTTGTTCAGACAAACATAGCCTCTTAACATTCAATATAAGATAATAGGAAATATAACGCCTATACAAAATAAGGAAGTGAATAAATACTTGAACTATACTGTTTTGGCATATGTGTGTTTGTTTGAGGTCAACTCTTAAGCAACCAACCCAAGCTGTTACAAACTTTCTCCTCGAAAAGTCTGACACCTTGACTTCATATAAAACGTTTCACCGATGTTCGTCCAGATTTTGTAGATTATTTTACGCGTTTGGAAGATTTTAATCATCTATTTACATACACAAACAGTGGTCATACCAGTAATTGAACCCTGAGCTTAAATAGTGGCAGACGCTTTCATCCGCAACTGTGTTAGATTCTTGTCACACTTATAACGATAACGACCGATAGAGTAGATCACCTCAAACCTAAGCTATTCAACACCGTATTTAAACTTTGACGCTTTAACAGAATATTTCGCGCAACACATCATTACCAGGATAATGTGATGGTCAGACTTTTCCAACTCGGCTTAAAACCTAATGTCATGCTCAAATCCCACACATTGTGCAGAATTCCTACAATCAATTTTGTTAGGAATAAGAACAGCTATCAAAACTGATTTACAGTATTCAGCATCAGAGCTGGTCTTTGGGAAGACGCCAAGCGAGTTTACCATGTATAAACCAAATTGCCTTATTTTTCCTACTTTGCAGTTGTACTGTAAACATCTTCACCCCTAATTTTTAACTTCAACTAGACAGGCGACTCACTGAGCCCATCGATACTCGGTCGCTAAGAGACGCTCACTACCATCCTAAAAACGCAAAGAACCGCACAGTGAACTGCCTACTACCAGTGGCCCTGCATCTATGGAGCCTGTCACCCATAGACTTGTTGGAGTAGCACTAAGTAACATTAGCACCAATTTAATGTGATTTCCTTGTCTATTTCTCATCAGTTTTCTACTCTCCTGTACACTATATTGAATTACCATTAATTTTATTTCACCACTCGTTACCGAACCCATAACTCATATATTTCTGTACACTTCTACCTACTTCGGTAAACAACTATCCAGCATTATACCCTTGTTATTGCCTGTACTTTGATTGGTAACCTATACTTCGTATTATAGTTAAATGAAGCATTGCATCAATGCCTTAGCCACTGTCTATAATTTGTAACTGCCTGATAAGCATGTAAAATGGCACTTGTAGAAACAGTGTTTTCCAACAGGATGTGAAACAGAGCATTGTGTAAGGTATGATGTGTATCCGAAAAATAAGCTTAAGTAATCCTAACATCAAAAAACGAGGGAGGGTAGGGTTGCTGACCAGCCATCATTGATGATGAGGGCGATGACTTCAATCCACCCATGTTTGTAGGGCACAACATTTTGTTTGTGTCAGGTTCTTTGTGATTGAGAACAGATAAATCAATCCGTGATATTGAGGTCGTTTACCTAAGCTCACCATTCAGACTCATGTTTTCAATTTTGTGCTGGATTAACTTCTTTAATAAGACAGGGTATAACATGCTAACTCGGACTTTTACACTAGGACTGTGTGGCAGGCACTGGATAGAAGAAGACGAGAAAAACTCAGACAATAGGAGATACAGTCATTAGTTTTATTAACACCTTAGCTTTCACAGGCACTATATTTCTTATTATCGTATGCTGTATGTTGAAATTTTTGTTTGCTTGAATTAGGACCTTGTGCTCCGAATTTCCTATCCCATGAGTTGAATGAGAATCCACTCCATATGTAATACGAGGAGTAACTACCAACGTTAAAACACTAAATTAGGCATTATTTTCAGGCTTGGTGAACGTTCAAGATGAGGTCTTTTTGATTTGTAAATCAATCTAGATTCATGGGGTTCTTGTTCGTCACTTGAACGACCATAGGAGGCGGTATATAAAGCTAGGCTATGGGTTCTCCCACACATGTTATCAAATATTATGGATTACGTTATTTATCAGCTATCAGTAGCACTTTTGTCATCACACGTCGATTTTTCTAATGCTTATGCTTATTAAACATCTTTTATCCCAGTTAATTAGTAATTTGACTTAGTTGCTGTTCACGTAATAAGATTGATAAAATTGATGGAACTATTAACGAAATCGGTCAACAAATTGACTTGTAATTATCATTAAATAGTGTTGTTTTCTCGGTATCTTCATCCATTACAGATGACTTTAGTATGTTTCCTTATCGGTTGTTCAATCAGTAAATACCTTAAAAACATATCAGTCTAATTGCAGGTTGAGCGACACAATCATGCATGCAAATCATTAGTATAAACAATCAAGCAAATCCGCAAACTGAAAACACTGTCGAATTTACCACAAAACTGGCTATGGATCAAGCCATTATCACAGGCATTAGTTGGGAGTGTACTCCCCTTGGTTACAACTTATGTTCTCCCTGATAGTCACATGAGCATCATTCGCTGTTATTCATCTTGTAAAGACTCATTTAGCCGAAGATATCTTGCAGCACTACATCACCCATAGTTGTGGAACATAGGCTTAGTCGATTTCTACGACTTATAATCACTATATCAATTAAATCGTATTCCGCCTTATGCTAAACTGCATACTTGCGACTACCTTGTATGAACCATCAGCCGGTAGAAATAAATATAAATAAATGATCTCTGGTAAAGCAGAACATTGGGTCTAGAGCATGTCTTTCACGAATACACTCATGTTTAACGATTTGATCTTAGCTATCCATCCAAAATTCACATAATTATAACTTTTCATGCATTTAAAAATTTTTGATAACCATTCATATGCATTAGTAGTATTACTAAATTCTTTCACGGTCAAGGAAAAATGAGGTCGAAGAAATCTCCCCATAACTAAGTAAACCGTATCAAACTAACTGAAACATGGGTTTGAATTCTTCTCCACGGTAATACTTTTGTTCTATAAGTCAGCGTACTAATACAGATACAATTGGAAATCAGCTCATATGGACAGGTTACCGGCATTACCGGTTTGATTTCATCATTCAAACCAAAACTAATGCCGGTATTAACATTTCTACAATACTGGTTGTTTTTAATTTCTGAACACGAAATTTTATTAACGTACGGCTATTACTACATATCTTACGGTGATTTATTGAAACATCTGTACAAGAACTCTTAGTTTTTTTCTCCCACCTCATTAAAGTCTTATATAATCTTCACGTAGATTTATATTTTTGGGGTGCTTAGAATAAAACCAGACATTTTAAAAGTACTTATACGGCCTACAACTTGAGCCGTTAACCAAATGTTATTACAATGCATTTTAATGTCACTTGTTAAAATATCCTTTCACCAAATTTTCGTTTTAAGCGTGTTAAGCGTTAAAACAGATGCTTTATTACGTGTATTTCCTGATCAGTTGCTGCCTGCTTTTTGATTCAATTTCAGCCTATCAATACTCGGAGGATACTTATTATTCTTCGTAGCCTCCGGCGGGCGACAACCCCATCCAATTCGGTATCGAACCAACATCACGTTGATTCTGGTGGGAGAGTGGTGTAGTGGCATTGGGCCTTACCCACAAAATCCTCAATGCTGAACACGAGATATTTGAGAAAATAGATGTTCACTATCTAACGTGGAGAAATACCCAACGATTGAGAAGGCGGGAACAAGGAATTGGATTAATTCAAGTTGACCGGATGGCATGGCTCAGCCTTGCAAGCGTGGTACCTGCTCAATGTCACCTTATATCTTTTATTCATATTAAATATATTGTCCTATCTCTAGCTTAAGCTTGTTCTCCATACAATGAGTTGGTGTAGGCGATGATGTGACTTCCATATAAGATCTTATAGATTAGGCAGTTATATCATGACAAATTTACAATTTAAGGACCAGGCCTATTATTAGAGCAGTACTAATAACGAAGTATACCGTAATTCTACAAAGTCAAATTAACGTGGTTGTTTGTAACAATGTAAACTCAAGCAAGCAAAATTCACTATTAATCAGGTCAAAGATAGGACCAAAAATCAAACCAACGAGAGATACAGTCAAAACAAAGAGGTAAACAATGACCGGTTTAAGGTCAACAAGATCCAATGAACATCGAGGTCTACATGACGTGCTGTGAACCACATGTGGAGAAAGTCGAACACTTCACTTCTACCTGAAGTTTGTGCTGATTATGTCATTCAGAATAACGATGAAAACTACACGACCAAACAGTCTAGCACATAGAACAAAACTCCATCAAAATCATCCACCTGAGCCACAAATCTTCTCCACAATCTCAATATTTATACACGCCTGTTGAGAATTGTGCATTCTCAGTATTTGCGTCAGTAGCAGTGACCTTCTTACATGCCTGAATCTTAATACTTTCTACCACTTCATATACCGTTGTTGATTTCAGCATCGCTGTTTTTATCTTCTGGTTCATGGATCACAAACCATCCATGAGCGACTAAAGAGATGATTGTAAAGCATTTGAGTGATTTTACGACATATTCTTTACCATTCAAAATTGCACTGAACCTTACTTGGCAGCTCATAAACCCAGACCTTAGACGTTACATGCTACCTAAAGTTCTCACAGTTTTTGATTCACTGTTAAACCTTTTACATTACGCTTATAACTAAAGGTTCAATGAAGCACCACAAAATAGCATTTAAATCTCATATCCCCCAGTAAATTTTTTTCGGCATGAATTTGATGAGAATTTTTAGTCTAAAAAGGGATAAAACTTTGTTCCTACTTTTTGAAATTCATTTACCACACTATCAAATTCAGTTCAGCATCCGAAATATTTTTTCAGCTTTGTACGCTGAAACGCCTCTCTTACGTCGACTGAAATTTCTCTTGAAGATGAAGCCCTACAAACACAACTGAGTGTTTGTGAAAAAAAGACATCCACCGCAATAATAATTTTCTAATTGCAGATACTACTATTAAAATTTAAAACTCACCCATTATTTGACATCTCGACGTAGTGTTTACGTAAAACGTCAGTTCACACAACGTTTGCGTGTCTAGAACTGTTAAGTTATTCTTAGAATGCTGTTTTATGGACCTTATTAATTTTGAATTAAAGGCAGTGAGTTTTAGTTCATCATCTGCTATCCCAGACCACGTTACGAACCGAGTCAACATGTACGCTACAAGACAATCATTTCGTGATCCCACTACTTAAATTTAAGAACACCTAAAATCCACGCAACCTAACAGACACCGACCACACAGCATTGGGAACGCAAAATGGCCGCCTCGTATCAGGCCGTTCAAGGTGACAGGGACAAAACGATCGGCGGCTTTGAGTGAACCTAAAATTTTTACCGTGGTCAACCTTAATAGTGGATTGAATGGTCGATGCATTGTATTATTTTCTTGCAATGCCTGAGCCGTTAAACATTTCCGACGGTGACCTTAGATTCTTTCTAGCCCATTGATATGAGCCAGTGTTTCAACTTATGACCCTTGGGGACCACAGTTGCTATGCTGTAGGGTGATATGTTTACTAAGGGATTCTTACATAGTAAATGTAATTTCAGTGTTGAGTTTCAACACAACTTCACTAGTTTTGGTAAATGATTCATTTACACTAAAGTTGTTGGAGGTTGTCATCTTAATCTCAATGTAGGTTATTCTTTGGCTTATCCGTTTCCGAACAGTTGACAGTTTTTTCGTCAGACGTATCAGAAGGTTGATGATCTTCAGCATCATATCACTAGTGATAATATTTCGTACACTATATGTTTATCTGACTTGCTAAGACTTTTGTCAGAAGTTGCTGTCAGATTTGTGCACGCTTCGTGAAGTCTATCTTTGGATTTGTCACATTACATAACACAGGTGATTGTTTGATGGCAGCCAGGTTACTTCCATTTGTTCTTCGTGACCATGTTAAAATATGAGTTGTCATTTGAACTGAAGTCAAAGTCGATAACAGCGAGAAAAGTTTAATAATTTCGGAATGGGTAAAAAAGATAAAAAGATACCTAGTGTAAATGATTTAAACTTGTCGAAAGTAGCCTCATAATGTGAAATACGGTAAACACTTTAAAGCTAGCTGAAACAAATCGTCAGTTAGCTGTTAATTTGAGTGAAAGTTTGAGAAAAAAACGATCTACCGAATGTAAGGCTGTAGTAGGAGTCGAGTCGCTATTGACTGTAATCACCACTACAGGAAGACTATGTGCCAGTTACTAAGTTAGGTCTCGTGGAATCGGAAGCATACCGAAATCATCCCAAGGTTTAAAAGCGAGACTAGTGAGCGTACACAAGTTCGTGCAAGGTCACAGACAACGAAAGAATTTGCGTTTTCGGTACACTTAAACAAACAGGTACAGTAAAACAATTACTGGTACGATTTGTTATTATAATGGTTTCCATTATTCCAATCGTGTTCTTTTCATACAAGTAGGTCACTACAAGGCTGAAGATATATTCTTCGTAGCGAAGATGGTACTTTTGTAACTTTACAACAAAAAGAGTTTGAGTAATGCAAGAACACATTAAATAATAACTCCACAAACATGGCGCTAATGACCTTCTTGAAGAACAGTATTTTCAAATATTTAAACGATCGCTTTCTAAGTACGTCGTTGAGAGCTAAACCAGTAGGACTCGGTAGGACTCTCAGTTATTCTGGGCATTGACTTCGTGTGTCTGAAACTGTAGTACTCAAACAAAGACGCTCGACCTGGTCTGATTATAGTTTGTTCTGCTGTACTGAGGAAGCAGCTTCAACTTTACCAAGACCGCTTAGCTTGATGTTTTCACATTCGCTGAGCAGATTCGCGGAGTCAGAAAGTTGAAGGCCGGTTAATTATACACGAATTTTTGGAGGAGGTCAACGCACCAAGCTTTCAAGCTGAAGACCGGTACAACTTACCTCAATACCCTCAAAATTTATGGAGTCCATTAAATGCGAAGGTCTACGTAAACACATACTATCTATAAACTTCAATTTCTTTTATGATTAAGTTTACTTAGGTATCTACCTTGAGGCATCGGTGATCCACTGCTACTAGATAAGGAAGCTCGTTAAATGAAAGCTTCTATTTCAACCAGATTCGTTTAACGCATTTGAATGTCCTAGTAGGGTCCCCCAGGGCTCAGTACTAGGGCCTCTTCTCTTCTTAATCTACATAAATGATCTTCCTCAACAGGTAACGTCAGACTTATTACTTTTTGCCGACGACGTGAAACTTTGGAGAGAGATACGCAACCAAGACGATATACAGGCACTTCAGGAGGATCTGACTCGACTTCAAAGTTGGGCAGATAATAACGGACTTACCTTTAACACTTCAAAGTGTAAAGTAGTCCATCTGCGACATGTCGCAGACTGCAGTTACAACTTTGGAAACTCCTCTCTAGTAGTATCCCAAGTCGAAAAAGATTTAAGAGTCCTGATGCCCCATGATTTGAAGTCTTACGCTAACTGTTACAAAAATGCCTTCCGAGCAAACCTTGCACTGGTAACGTTGAAGCGCATTTTTGGGCAGTTTGACGGACGAACTTTCCATACAATTTTCAATCGTTTCATCCGTTCCCATTTAGAGTACAGAAACATAGTACTCCCCCTCATTTCAAAAGGACAAGGTCACTTTGGAGCGTATCCAACGGCGAGCCACGAAATCAGTTCGAGGACTCAAATCTAAACCTTACGAAGAACGCCTCTATTCAGTAGACGTTTACCCATCAGAGTATAGGCGTCTTAGAGGCGATTTATTAATGGCTTATAGTATTCTTAACACTTCTGGACATCCCCTAAAACAACAAATTAAGCTTAGTTCCAACACTAACCTAATGGGTAATACCCAGAAACTGGAGACACAACATAGCAAAACGGAATGTAGACATAACTTCTACTCCCTAAGAGTTGTCAAAAGCTGAAATTCGCTGCCGACCGAGCTAGTCCAAGCGACTTCTCAGGACTCCTTCAAGAGGCAACTTGACCTATTCTTAAGGACCAAGGACAGAATCACACTATGATTTACCAATTTCTTTTCCTCTTTTATTGTTAACATACCTAGGTTCGTGCTTGGAGGATTCGGTGATCACCTGCTACTAGACATGGAAGCCTATTAAGCGAAAGCTTCTTTTATTCGGTCCACAACCATTTGAACCATTTGAACGTGATTGGACATTGAGGGTTGCGGCGAATCTTCAAAGTGAGCGCTATGTGATTAAGTTATTTGTGAATCATACGGGGTATTTGTTTAATTGATTAACTAGAAGACATTGCATTCATTAATATACACTCCTCCAAACATCGGTTTTACTTTTTCCTGTACATATGACGTGAAATCTTGACTCATAATACATTATTCAGATTTCTCCATTAAATACAACAGACTGGTTATTACGTAGCGGCATTTCTTACGCTTGTTTACAGTTTTTAGTAAAATTAAAAGTTCAGGAATTCAGACAGCTTCTGATGACATGTGCCGGTTTTATTTATGACCTTGCCAATCATGCTTATATATTTTCGTTCACTTATTTATCTGTAGTCTCATTAATTGTTCATACTTAGTACACTAACTTTACAAATAGTACTAATCACTTCGAATGGAGTTGGATCTGCTGGTAATGCATCTCTACTCTGCATCCAACTATTACCGTCTGTCTGCTACTTAAGTAGCAAACGGGTATATTGCTAATTTGTTACTAACGCCAATTAGTCACATTATGTGTGGATGTCGTTGACAAATTATATTGCATCACCTTATCACGTAAGATCAAATTGGGGCCAGTTACGGGAAATACGTGCAAGTCGAACATACAAAAACATTAGTACAATTAACAATGTGTTGATCAATAATGGGATACATAGAGCATATGCTTTATGACTAACTAATGGTTTTCCAAAAGTATAAACAGAATGCGAGCGTATAAAATCTACTTCCTGGTGACATCCTCTACAGTGAGACCCAATCTAATAGTCTTATAAATCATTACGAAATTTCGTCGAAATATGATAAATCGACCTTGTGTTATCCCAAAATAATGAGGATTAAGTGTCAGATTTTTCTCAGTCAGCACGGTCACATGCGTACCTAATGTTGTACGAGCTAAAACTCAGCACATCAATATAAAGCTTTCCGTTTCATGAAATGTCATTTAGCTTCAGCATGATGTTATCATCCTCCTTTTTTTCTGTTGTCCCTCTTCTGAAAGCACACGAACGGTTATCCATAAGTCAATGACTAAAAACAGCATTTAACTATTACAAACTTTATAAATGGGCACAAATTCATTCGATGTAAGCTAATTGCAATATCAGTTGTTTTAAAAAGCCTTGTGATCGTTGCAAATTCTGGTGTATGACTCTTCGTTATGAGCAAATATTTAGAATAACAAGTGGTCATTATTTCGCAGTTACACATAACTAGCAGTGTCACATACTACAGTCCCGTTAATCACATGTCGACCAACATCCTATTTTTCATGCATTCATCTTCAGAACATATTTAACTGACAAGAATTTAACCCTTAAGTTCACCACCAACTCAACGTTGGAAAATTAAATGTTTAGAAAATAACGCAGATCTGAATGATAAGATAAGCACGATCACAACTTTTAGCATAATACAAGTGACCTAATCTTTAAAATTCAATTCGTGTGCATTTAAGTACTTAGAACAGTACTATATGTTCATGACCAGTAACTGCTCTGTTATTCTAATATCTATATCATTTAAGTCTGGTCCTGTTCATGAGGTCATTCGTAAGAACAGTTAATGGTAAATCTCTCTGCAGCCAAAATTATTTGGCACCCAATACAACAAGTACGAAGCAGGCAATCGTTAGTAATGATGACCAATATGAACACCTCACAACCACACGTTTACATAGGATTGCCATAAAAACACTTATTCCATTCACTTGCCCACCAGTACCAGGAAGAAAAGGTAAAAGTGGGTTCATAGATTCTGTTTGGGACACGTCAATCCAAAAGATATTTCAGACTAGATTAGTAAAAGAAGTGGTAGGGTGCAAGATAAATAATCTAAAGACTTGATAAATTTAAGGTCTTTGCATCATACTTCACTTAAACTGCTAAACACGTCGTTATAGTTCTGCATCGTGAAATGTACTTATATATTTATATTAGCCCTTCTATTAATTGAAGTTTCTAGGGATTTCTTATCCCAGTATTTCGTCGCTAAGTATATACAATACAAATGGTCTTAAACAACTAGATCAGAATTCGTTTGTTAATTGTATGTGTCTGTTGGAGCTTAAGTAGGTCTTACTCTGTAGATATTTGTTTCAGACCACCAGTATATCTTCAATATCAATCCTCATTTTAGTGACGAATCTCACTTGAATGTATGGTTCTGAGAAACTTTTGTCTTGTGGGTTGTACAGACCCGTGTAATGAAGTTGTTCGAGTAAAGGATGCATCAGGACACTGGAAAACGTTTTACGTGCGTGATAAGTTAGATACTGGGTATGTTTATAAGGTTCTCTAATAATGGAAGCTTTCAGTGGATTTAGCCAAATAGATCTCGTTTTTGACAAAGTGTCTAAAAGATCATTCGCTTTAAAACGTATCCTATGCCATTCAAAGGATGATGAAAGTAAGGCTTTAAAAGAAGCTAATTTCCAATTGAATCTCCCTGATCACCCCAACTTGCTTTCCTGTATCGCGAGTGGCCTACAACATGTCTCTAGACGTAAACAAGGAGCTATTTCAGAAGTTCTTTTGGTGTTATCTTATAGCAAGGTATGTTTTAATGTATGTCAAATGAAGTATTTTAGCGAGGTACGTTGCAACGTGAAATTGACCATAGATATGCACGTAACGTTATGTTCCCCCTGTACCTTATAAAGACCATGATGATTGGTATTTGCGATGGCCTTATTGCTCTTCTTTCTTTTGATATTCCAATGTCTCATCGGTAAGACAATTATACTTGTAGACATATTTCTCTATAGAGATATAAAGCCTGGGAATGTTCTTTTGTTTGAAGAAATGAGACCAGTTTTAATGGATTTTGGCTCTGCCACTCCCTCCATTCTTCCTATTGAGAGCATTAGAGATGCAGAAAAATGGAAGGTAACATTTTGTTACTAGATCTCGTTTTTCAAGGAGTTTGCTGAGGAAAACTGTTCACTAACTTATCGGGCTCCAGAGTTGTTTAATCCAATAACTTACGAAACCATAACCGAGAAAGCTGATGTTTGGGCAAGCACTTTCTTACGGCTTTTTATGCCTGAATACTTATTTTAGTCCTTAGGATGTCTCTTTTATGCTCTGATTTTCTTCAAATCCCCAATGGATTTCGTTCATGCGCGGGGTGATAGTGTTGCTCTTGCTGCTTGTTCAGCTAATATATATTTCCCAATAGATTCGTGTTCAAAGTAAGTGTTTTTTAAAGACATTTTATAGTTATCAAAATATTATCGTGATTTTGCGATGGCTAATCACCTTTTGATCCGATTTTTAGGATACAAAATTATTAGAGTAGCGATATGAATAAATTATATCTTTGTTTTACATGCGATTTCAAGTTGCTTAATCTAATGCCCACGTTAAAACCCGGTCGATGAAGTTTAATCAGCTCTAAGAACCAGTCTAACATAATATTCGCCCCTCAATAGAAATTAGGCCCTCTAATTTAATCTGACATCTGCTATCGCCTTGTTCTTGGACCAAGTTTTTTAAGGTAGCTCAATGCAATATTAACGTTGTTACGACTGTTCTGTTCTGTACGGTATACCACTGAATAAAACATTTTTTTTTACTCTCCTTTATTTAATTTTTCAGAGTTCCATCAGAATTGATAAAGTTAATGAAAGCAATGCTGTCCGCTAATCCTCAAGATCGTCCCTCACTTACTCAAATTGTGGAGTCCTTCAGAAACCTACCTGAAGAAATCATGTATTGTAACAATCAAAGTGCAATAACTTATTCTTTGTAATCTTGACTTAGTTTGACTAAATCCCACATGAAATCTAACCGTAAATCTTTCAATCTTCTACTCTTTCTCTATACTATTTACGAAATACTGAGAAGTCTTTCTAAACCTTTTACCTTGACTTTTATTCTCTGTACTTTTTAATATTCGACACAATATTGCATGGAATTCCAGAACGGTTTTGGCTTTTGGTCGAAAATGAAATATTACTAAATATTCCACAAATACATTTTTTGAGGGCTTTTATATGGCGGAGCACCCGAGCCGAAGCAAGATGCTGTATAGTGTAGTCGAGCTGTTAAGATTCATAAGTTAACTAGTTTAATGCAACTCAATCCGTAGGACTCATGAATGTTCATACTCGCAGAAGCAGTTTCATGAGTCCTGAGGTTAGTAACCATCGATTTCTATCTTACCTAGGTACTTATCAGATCATCTTAGTTGTATTATCACAAATAAAATCAATGTAAAATAAAATACAAGTTTGAATCCGCGTAGAACACAGCAGTGAACAAAGTCAAGACGACAAATACCTTACTATGAATATTATCAGAAGCGAGGTGAAGTTTAATCTCGGACTGCTTCAGCTTAATGGACTGTCCGCGAAATTCCGTTGCATCCGCTGCTTAAAAAGTATTTTGTCTTCAATAACAAAATTATGGGGTATTTCGACACTTATTTGCTCGACGGATTGTTATTGTGGTGACCAGGTCCTAAAATCCGCAATCTATTGAATGATGTAGCGGAAAGGGTTACCAACTAAATAATTATTTTATGATATGCAGAAAAAACAGCAACTTACTGATAGCCAACCTTTGGTAGGTACGTTATTGTAAATGTCTTAGATTACAGTTTATGTGATTTGACAAACTCCAACCACCTATATCTATCTATGTGAATTTCGTTACGAATAAACTAAAAATGGCACGATTACTTGGCTAAATAAGGTAACTAGGGTGTTCAACTCATGAACTCTTCATCGTCCAATTTTGTCTAGTCTTTATGACCCGAACTTTACATCTAGTTATTAAAATGCTTTAGAATATGTACGCTACCAGCTGTCATCAAACAACATAAGAGGTATAATGTCTAGATTTCTCATATATAAATGTTCATTGTACAAAAAAGTAATTATTGAATATAGAAAAAAAAATAAAATTCAGCACTATTATAAAAATAAACATATTATGTACAGGAAACGAGAAAAAAAGTAAACAATATAGTAAAGTAGAAAATAGAAAAACAAAAACTGAAACCGATAAAAAAATACATGCATTATTATTGGTCATTTTTCAACAATTAAAATAAACATTATGCTCATGTTCCTGAATGCTACTAGTAATAAACAACTGGATTAGCACAGACCAATTAATGGCTTTTAAAGTATATATATGTTAATCGAAGAAAAAACAAAATGGTTATATGAAAGACAGTTTTAATTTTACGAAGGGGATTAGTTACATATTAAAGAAAATGTTTTTAGAAAAATAATTAGTATAAATTATTCTAATACTAAATATATATAAATATTATATTGATTGATTCTATTGTCTTCTATCTATATCGTTTAATTAGTCTTAAATGAATATAAGCTACACACAAGGCTAAAATTGCAATCACAAGTATACCCAATTCATTTAGCCAAACTGCCCATTTTGATCGATATTCAATTGCTTGCGATTCTAAATACTGTACACCGCTAATGCTGTATAATTAAGTGAAAATAAATAAAAAACGTGAGAATAATAACAGATGTTTTAATTAAATCAATATCTTTTAAGTGTTGAACCAGCACATAACCACATGAAGTACAGGTGTAAATGTGTTGAAGATTATCTACTAAAAAGTATACAAACATAGGAAGTTTCACTGTTTTGATAGTTTTCAGTTCTATTAGAAAAACACTGCATTTCAGGTTAATAGGTTGATGCATTTCGAAACAGTTTACACATTTTATATTAGAGTGATCAGTGTGTATAGTTAAATTATTGTATCGTACAATCTACAGTTGATTTCCTATCTTCGAGGAAATATCTGTAGGTAGGAAATCTGGGTCGATATCTTACTACAAGCCGTTCCTGATAGACAACTGTTATTCATGATAACTATCATAAACAACCTAGCCCCCCTGAATGCCCTGGTACGGCCGAGAATGGGGAGAGTCCGCTCTCCCTCTCGAAATACTCTCACACGGCCACGCGTATACAGCCTCTGCCAGGGAAGTCCTACTCATTGCCTTCTCGTGGCGGGGGTGTTGTTTACGAAAATGAGAGGACGAAAAGCGAATGTCCGGCGCTTTAACCGGATTCCAAATCAATGGTGCACATGGGCTCCAGTATCCTGCGGGAACAAATGGCGTATGAACCAATCGTTGATCACCGGCTACCATGGGACTGCATCTCCTTACGATGCTCCACTGCCTTGTGGGTTAGACCTTTAGGTCAAAGGCTCGGGGAGTGGCCCCCTAAGATAACCACCTGCTTCGGTTTGGGCACCCGGGCAGTATCACAGCCCACACACAAATTGATGAACTCTTTATGCCTATGGAAATTACCTTTCTCACTTTGAAAAACAAACAATTGATTCAGATTATTATCATTACAATTATTGTCATTATTGTTATTATTATCATTATTATTATTATTTCCCACATTATTCACCCTCTTTTATACTTATACAGCGGCTCGTCTTTGGTGGAAATCCGACTGTATCTAAACGTTCTCGAGTCACTGTCCGGTTGAAAATTGTATGTTACCACCGAATACGAGGACTGAAGCAGATTTTCTGAAACCACGTGCACCATTCAAACTGGCTGCCTTCAACGTTCGCACATTTATGCAGGTCGGACAACAGATAGGGCTGGCTATGTCTTTGGAAAGTCTTAATATCGACGTGTGTTGTCTATCCGAGACCCGTACTCAAGACTCTGGCGAAGTACTACAAATTCGATCTCCATCTGTCGCTTCGAAAAGCTTGTTTTACGTGCGCTTATCCGGGGACCCTGTGGCATCTTCGTCTGGTCTTGCAGGCGTTGGTGTCGCACTAAGCGCTAGAGCTGAGGCAGCACTAGTCGATTGGATCCCCATTAACAGTCGGTTATGTGCTGTTAGATTAGAACGTTCCATCAAAGTGAGAAGAAATCGGCGTGAGAATCGATGTCTTTTCGTCATCTCCGCCTATGCCCCGACAGATTGCAGCCCGGATGCAATCAAGGATGAGTTTTACCACCAGTTATCAGTTCTTCTCCAGAAAGTGCGTTCGACAGATATTGTAGTACTAGCCGGAGACTTGAATGCTCAGGTCGGGCGTCTAGGCACAGAAGAGAGTCGTTTAGGTGGCCGATGGGGACTCGTTGGTCGCAGGTCAGATAACGGGGACCGTCTACTGCAACTTTGCACAGACCACAACCTGTTTCTGGCTAGCACTAACTTTCGGCACAGTCATCGCCGATGTGCCACCTGGCGTCCTCCCTCTGCATCCCAAGCCTGGACTCAGATTGATCACATCGCGATCAGCTACCGCTGGCGTGGTTGTGTACAAGACTGCCGCTCCTTTTGGAGTACCTATCTGGACTCTGACCATGCCTTGGTCTGCGCCAATCTTGCCTTACTTTTCAGTGGACAACGAAGTGAACGCCATCAACGGATTGATGTTAGCAAGCTGGTTGCAACTTCTGTTGCAAGTAAGTATCGAACCGAGCTAGCCTCTAGGCTAGCTACTACTCCACCGAAAAGTATAGATGAGCATTGGTTGCAATTGCATGACGCCATGAAAATGGCGGGAACAGTCAGTTGTGGGTTTGCGAAACGTCCCGCTTTTAAGCACTGGGTTTCTTCTGGTTCCTTACAACTCATTGAAGCCCGTCGGTCTACTCCGGGTGACCGTGAGTTTGACCATAAACGAAGGATGTTATGTAAGGAAATCGGGCAAAGCTTGCGTAAGGACCGAGAAGCCTGGTGGTCGATGCGTGCTAATGAGCTGGAAGCAGCAGCTGCATCTGGTAACTGCCGGAAGCTCTTCCAGCTCATCCGAGCCACTGGCAGCAAGAAGTCTGGTGTGAGTGAAACAATCTGCGAGGATGATGGGATGCCAATCACTAACATCCATCGACGTCTTGGACGATGGGCAGAATTTTTCGAAGGGCAGTTCAACTGGCCTGCTGCTCCGGCAACATCGGTCAGACTGTCCTGCCCTCCATGGCCGGTGACGACTGATCCACCAAATGAGGAGGAAGTTCACAAGGAACTCCAACTCTTGAAGCGTTACAAATCACCTGGTCCAGATGACTTACCTCTGGCTCTTTTTAAAGATGGTGGTGACTTTCTGACTAAGGAATTGACGACCTTGTTTACAAAGGTTTGGGAACTAGAGAGTGTACCAACGTCATGGAATGAGTCGATAGTTGTCCCTATCTTTAAAAAGGGTTCACGTCGTTCCTGTAACAACTATCGGGGGATAAGTTTACTTCCGATTGCGTCCAAGCTATTGGCTTCCGTCATACTTCGTAGGTTGTTCAAAACCCGAGAAAGATTGACTCGCGAGGAGCAGGCTGGGTTTCGTTCTGGTCGAGGATGTATTGATCATATCTTCACCCTCCGCCAAATGTTAGAACACCGCCATACTTTTCAAAGGCCAACAATCGTAGTGTTTCTTGACATCAGGGCTGCCTTCGATTCGTTGGATAGGACTGTTCTCTGGGATTGTCTATTGAAGAAGGGTGTGCCTGAGAAGTTTATTAACATCCTAAAAGCCCTGTATAAAAACACCTCAGGCAGAGTGAGGGCATACAACCACCTCTCTCCATTGTTCCATTCGAGCAGTGGGGTTAGGCAGGGTTGCCCAATCTCACCATTCCTCTTCAACTTTGCCATCGATGACATTCTGGAAACAGCTCTGATGAATGTAAGTAATGGTGGTGTGGATCTGTTGCCTGGAGAAAGACTTCTCGACCTTGAGTATGCGGACGATATTGTCTTACTGTGCGATAATGCCCAAGGCATGCAATCCGCACTCAATCAGTTGGCAATCAGTGTCCGTAGGTATGGTATGTGTTTTGCACCTTCGAAGTGCAAAGTACTTCTACAAGACTGGCAGGATTCTAATCCTGTACTCACCCTGGATGGTGAGCAGATTGACGTAGTCGAGAAGTTCGTGTATCTGGGTAGCTGCATAAGTGCTGGTGGGGGTGTGAGTAATGAGATCAATGCACGAATAGTGAAAGCCAGAGCGGCTTATGCCAATCTGGGCCACCTTTGGCGCCTTCGTGATGTTAGTCTGGCTGTAAAAGGCCGGATCTACAACGCGTCGGTGAGAGCAGTTTTGCTCTATGCTTGTGAAACCTGGCCTCTCCGAGTTGAGGACGTTAGACGACTCTCTGTGTTCGATCATCGCTGTCTCCGAAGGATTGCTGACATTCAGTGGCAACACCATGTCAGTAATGCAGAGGTTCGGCATCGTGTGTTCAGGCACAGAGATGATAACTCAATTGGTGTCACCATCTTGAAACACCGACTTCGGTGGCTTGGACATGTTCTCCGAATGTCGTCCCAGAGAATTCCACGTCGTGCATTATTTGCCGACTCTGGGACTGGTTGGAAGAAGCGGAGAGGTGGTCAGTGCATGACATGGTGTCGTGGCATGAAAGAAAGCTGCAAAGGACTGGCTTGTGTTGGTCCTTCACGACTCCCTGGCTGGGGTCCGAGAGATGGTGCTACACAGTGGCTAGAGACGTTATCAGATATGGCTCAGAATAGAAGCCAGTGGCGATCCTGCTGTAACCTTCTTTTACTTTCTTCATAAAAAGTGGTTGTGTCTCCTTTACCTGAAAGATTTCTTCTGATTGTACCTTTTCATTCCGTCGTTACTACCACACTACCTTACTCCAATCTCTTCGTCATTGTTCTCTTTTCTTTTGCGTTCCTTAGTTTTTTTTTCTTTCTACTTCTCTTCGAATTCTCATTGTTTTGTGTGGCGCATATATATTGGCGCTCTATTGTACCAATATTTATGTGTTCAAATAAATAAATAAATAAACAACCTTGAGATATCGTCGCTAAGCATTCGGAATGTTTCGTCTAATGATTATGATAATATCCATGAGACTATTTTGAAAATAGATGGGGGACTCGTCCTTACAGGTAGTGATCTCACCAACCACTACAAGCTGTTTGTCACCTATGGAGAAATTCTCATGAACCACTTCTATTTGAGCTTTTGTGGGGATGACAATATCAGGAAAGACCGTGAAAGCTTCAGAATCAAATCATTCAGGTTACAGAACGCAATTGCACCAAGATTGTAGACCTTTATTACAAACTCGTGTTTCGATAGTCTGAGATTGACAGTTGAAATGTAGAACATATATAAAAATATATACTCAAAGGTGTTTAAGAATTTACGTGTACTTACGGAAGCAAGTACACAACGAAAGAACGGGGGGTCTACAGGGTTTCCCGAACACATTCCCCATAAGTTGTTTCTGAAAGGAAGTACAGGATTCACAAGTGCGATCACTAAACATAGTGAACGCAACGTGGATGCCGCAAATGCGTTTCAAATGATCAACAAGTAGCATATGCCACCTTACTCCGCTTTTCAGAGACCATTTTCATTACGCGCTTTCAACCTGACCTTTGTATACAGAAAGTGATAGACCTCTAATCTCAATGGTAACGTTTGTCAACTACATTATCTCTATTGTACTTTATAAGTAAAAAAAAATGAGACTGATATTCGCTCATGACGTTAACTTTAGTGTTACGTCAACTAGGTAACCATAGTTATCACTCATTTATTAGGAATTTGTTTTTTATTCATTGTTCTTTTATTATATATACACAACCAACTGAATTCGATTAAAAGGAGTATTAGATTATGTATTAGAAATATAGTTATATTACATTGTAATGATTTAAGAAAATAAGATAGAACTAATTACCATATAGATTCTAAATTTTGAATTTTTCCAATTCCAGTTTGAAAGTACTCAGTGTTTTTCCATTCATTTATCAATAATGATGTTGCATTTGAATAAGGCGAATCACTTGCATTAATGCGATTAAAATCTACAGACGATAATTTTGAATAAGGTAATGTTGTTTCAGGACAAAATGTCATATCAAATAATTCATTTATTGTTAATATGTTTATAGCATAACGTAGTATTGAAATATAACGAAATAATTGAAGCCATTTCCATAAAGTTGATATGTTTACTAAATAACCACTCGTTACCTAAAAAATAAATAAACAAAACGTATTTTGTAAGGAAAAGTTAAAATAAGACAAACTTCATGAAATTGTGTGGTGATAAGAGATAATATTACGATAGTTTGGCATTATTCTGAGTAAGAACAGTAACTGCATAAAAGTGATGAGAGATAAAGTAAACTAGTGTACAATATGAGTAATAACTAGATTTCAGAGAGATACAATTCGATCAACAATTAGTTACATTCATTAAATTAACAAGCAAATACTGAGAATTTGAGCCTATTAAAAAGATAAACGGAGCTGTTACTCAATAGTTTGTAGTTTCAACTAGTTGATTTATCGTATAAAGCAACCATAAATAATTTTATTAAGTACCATACACTTGGTTACATTAATGATTCCCCAGCACCAATTGTTCAATATTGTAAAGAAAATTCCTATTTAACTTGTAATTAGTTGAAAATATCTTTTATGATTATTTTTCAATAGCCAATATATGACCACCCAAATTCAATCAGGGGATATTTTTGTTCAGGTTAGTTGTTACAACTATTTCATTGCATATATCATAAATTAGGTGAGTAGATTTCACTATATTCGTCCCTCTTTTTTCAAAGGATAAACAAGACGGAAAATATCTCAATAAATCCAATATTTCTGTTTGAGTTTCCCACTATTGACCATTTCAAACATTTACTTACTTACTTACGCCTGTTACTCCCAATGGAGCATAGGCCGCCGACCAGCATTCTCCAACCCACTCTGTCCAGGGCCTTCTTTTCTAGTTCCATCCAATTCTTGTTCATTTTTTTATGTCTATTTCCATTTCTCGGCGTAATGTGTTCTTTGGTCTTCCTCTTTTCCTTTAGCCTTGAGGATTCCATGTGAGGGCTTGTCTTGTGACACAGTTGGGTGCTTTCCTCAATGTGTGTCCTATCCACTCCCAGCGCTTCTTCCTGATTTCTTCCTCCGCTGGGATCTGGTTTGTTCTCTCCCACAGTACGTTGTTACTAATAGTATCCGGCATTTCAAACATTTACCAACCTTTTATAACAATACCTGAGTACATACACTTAGCATTCATATCTATTCAGTTCAAATACATTTAAAACAGGGAAGTTATTTGCAATATTTGTATAGTTGAGAAATAGGTCGTCTAAACTTTTCGGCAGACTATTAAATTCTACTGTCCCCAAGATGATATCTACATACACTTTGAAAATGGTTTCAAAAAGTTATTATTCATCAATACTGAATATAAAAATATTGTCATTGGTAATGATGATGAAATAGCTATCTAATCGAAAAGTTCGTCTGTTTCTCTTTTGATTATACAAACTATAAGTTCTTTTTCAAAAAAAAAAACAGCAACTAAGAAAACTAATCGACTTATAAAACACAATCACCAAAGAAAAAAAACATGTTATTCCACAAAAATTTATATCTAACAAAATTTACTACACATACCATCATTAGAACAAAAAACATAGATAATAATATTGATCCGATTCGTCGATCATTTACCATTGCACTGACAGCAAATGTAATCGCTGATGCACAAAATGTTAGCAATCCAATAGTGAGTTGCCATAATAAAAATGGATATAATTCATAGCGAAGACCAGTTAAATAATATGTTATAGATAAACACAAAAAAGCTGGTATCACTTTTATTGGTAAAACATCCGATAAAATTTTAGAAAGAAAATATGCTGAAATACGATAAAATCCAGTTGATGTCTCATGTCTAATTATTGGAGAGAAAACAAATAAACAATAATCAATGAAATAATTATTTGTAATTTATTGTAATAACTGAAATGTTAATTAGCAGGTAAATTTAAAAAGAGATATGATTTTAGGCAATTCATCGTTCAGGTAGATATTTTTCTATTATCGATTTAATTTCTTATTCTTATAGTTTGAATAATCTTATTGGGCAGTTTTTTTCATTCAACTAATTAGAACAAATCATTTTTTAAGATATCTCAGATTGAGTGCTCTGGAGGAACAACAATTTATATATTAGGACACCATTAAAAACCTGGAAGCATTGGACGGCCATTTCATTTCATATTGGGGCTCCTCAACATTGCGCATAAGCAATCATGTACGCAAGACTAGAACCCAAGATCTACGGTCTCTTGCCGTTCAACGTTTCTAGGTTTTTAATGGTGGTCTAACATTGGTCGGTTCATGATATCAAAAAAACTCCTCAAAAATCTCCACAATCCTATACTGATAATTATCATGTGCTCACTAGTGACTAGCTTTGAGAGCTAATTTTCAGAGTTCTAGTAGGAAGCCATGACCAATGGAGTCCAATCCGTGTTGGGTGTAGACAGTTATCCACTTAAAACAATGAAGGGTTGCGCAATATCATGGATCAATTGAAGTTAGACATCAACGGAGTTGAATGCCGACTTAAAGGTCTGGAGTTTAAGAGTTCGCGCACGGGATCGCAGATGCGCCCAACTGGGGAGTCACACATTGGGACGACACGCCCGTCTAGTGATTCCAGGATTTTAGTGGTGGTCTAATATTGATTGTTTCACGATCTCAAAGAAATCTAAATACCCAAATATAGAGGAGAGGTTATTTATCAGGTTTTGATTGTCCAATATATGCGCTATATCAAGGCGTTTTGGAGTACTTCGAACTCATTTTGTGAGTGAAGGTTTACTAAATGTGTAATTACCACTAAGAATTTTATTTTAAACCTTAAATTCAATTTTATTTGCTTTTTTCACGTGACATATTAGGATGAGCTAAACTAACGTATTCATGACTAACAGATGTTGATAGCTTCAGAATTTCGAAAGGGAATCTGAAGATAATTTACACTCTTATATGCAGTATTCACACACTAAACGAGCAGGAAAAACGCTAGATACTGCACATTTATTGTACATTATAAGACGGATAACGTCGCAAGAAGGTATTTATGTACTGTTGTGTTCAAAAATTTATATTGAATTGAGACAAAATCAATTGAAATCATTCAGTGTATCAGATATTAACGATAGTCAATATCAAACTCATCAAGATAAACTTACATAAATATCAAACGATCTTTTAAAAACACTTCTAATAATGTCCCGCTAATAAATAATAAATGTAAACAAGTGATAAAAAATAAGCCCACACGATTTTGAATTCCAGATCCGCTCCATTTGTTCATGTTTAAATAGATAATGCCCAAAAATAAGGCTATTACAAGTTGTATGACAAAATGTGCCAGTATTGTTTTGCCTGATCTGTATTGCAACGGTAGTAGAGTAAAAACAAAAAAAAGAATGAAGAAAATTAGAATGTTAATGATAAAACAAACGGGCAAACCGTTAATCTTGATTAACTTTAAAGTCGATCTCTAAAGTTCGTCATTTATAAACATACATAAGTTCAATTAAGAATATTTTGATGAGAAGCAATGGGACAAAATTGTAATGAATTCTTACAATAGATTGTTTCATATCAACGATTGAGGTTAATACTGATACACTTCAGTTCATAGATTAATTACTCAACCACAAATCAATAGGGACAAGAATTTACAAAACAGGCATAACAATGCCATCAGTGAAACTGAATAATAAGTCTATAATTCATTAACGATAACTTAAAGGTAAAAATAAAGAACAATAGTTTATACACCAAACAAAAGCTGACAAATAGGAGAATGTGGGAATATAATGTCTAATAATTAGAGTAAAAATATGTAGAACAATTCTCCATGAAATAGTGCAAATAATTACGAATTCAATGGTTAAGATCATGAGTCAGTTGAAGCTAGACCTCGCCCCCTGCGAGACTCGAACCCAGGACCTACTGGTTTCGCGCCCGAGCACTTAACCACTAGACCACTGAGCAGGCATCCATTAAAGCTGTTAAGTAATAAGTTCATGTTGATAGAAAAAGTTATTATGAATAGCAAAGTTGTACAATTTAATTCTAATCAGTATTTCTAGTTTCTGTTGCGAAAAGGTTAATCTTATTTACAAATAACACACCAATATTTCGGTGAATTGATCATTCTCAGCAGAATACTGAAGTCAAAATAAGTGAGATTTTAAATCAACTGTTTAATACAAAAGAAAAGTAGATGACTTTATTATCAGCTAAGTTAGGAACATACAAAGCTTCGAAATAAAATAAGAATTTATTGATTGTATTTAGTCAGAGTATCATTAAAAAAGATAGAATAGACAGTAATTTTTGCTTAGTATGAGACTCTTTAAGAAGAAGTACCAACGAGTCTGTTGGGGATAGAACCCAGGACTGGAAATGAGCGTTTAATCTTTAGATTAGAGTTGGCATCAAATGGTTTACATTTTGGACTTCGAACTATTTTTCTTTGATGAGTAATTCACAATCACTATTTTACCTTGATCTTATGCATTTAGTAGAGATTAAATTCAATAAAAGAATTAAGTTATTTTGCTGACAGTATTTTTTATTGGTTTATACCAATTCGGTTAAGATTTGGTGTCTGCACTCTTATAGAGTGATTTAATTAGTAACTTCAGTCTAGCATTAACATTTTTGAAATTACCTTAGGATCTCTATGACAATAACCTAGGACTAAATTATAATTATACCATATGACGTTTCCAGCTGCTAACATTTGCAATATCATGAAGTCTAATCAGTTTATTTTAGATTGTCACAAGTGATAGTGGATCTTTGAGTCAATGAAATTTAGAGAATCTAAATTCCATCATATAGGTTTGAGTAACCTGGTACAATAACAAACCATAGAGTAAAGTATGTACGATCTATCCTTTAAACGTTTCAAGTGATCTGTTTATACATACACATCAAATGAATGTCCTCTATTATTTAACAAGTTCTATTTAACTTGAAAACTGCACTTAATATGGAAAAATATATTATGAGATTATCAAATACTAAATAATTTCCATCTCTTAATTTGTACCATTTTTAAATACATATCTTATTAGTTTCCCAACTGTATAATAAATTAGAAGTTTTGATAAACAACGGTATACTTATTTTAACCGGTACAATGAAAATTAGACTTAGAAAAACACGTTTGAACCGTGTGGAAACATACTTATTAGTAGAATTTGTTGGTAGTTTTTTTTGAAAAAACACTGATAGTGTAGTGAACACGAACACCAGTGAGGAACAATCGAATGCACTTAACACAAAATTACAGGACTTGTCAATAAAATCTAACAAATCATAAAGTAAATGCTTAGTTTGCAAAATGTCCACCAATTGTCTCAAAATGACCCAGACTTCATTGTTCCTGCATTTTCATACAAATTGCATCCTGTTCCATTCTTTACTGTTTGATCCTGTTGTCTCTCTGCTACCAGACATTCTGTTCACGACTAACATCATATACTACTTATGTCAATATAAGTAGCCGACATCACAGTAGGATTATTTCAGAAAAAAAAGAAAGGATTGTGATTGCATATGGTGGTACATACCTTTTCATACTTAAATATGATCGCCAATTAAGTGTAAACAATTGGTAACAGAATGTAGTTGAGCATTGTTGATAATTGGATGACTGTTTTTTGCATTTACAAGAAAAACAGTTAACTAATTTCGGACTTTTTATAGTTGTATCATAACAAAAGAAATTATTATTATTCATTGGTGCAGAATACAAATTATCCTGTTGAAAATCAACATTCTGATAGTGAATATTATTGTCATCATCATCTTCCTGATTCGTATCAGAAGTACAAAGAGAACGACTCAACGCCCATAATTCATCAAATTTTTCAATTTCCTTATTTATTGTTGATAAATAATTGCCTGGTTGTACAAATTCGCAATCAAGCCTAAAACGATGCAAAGGAAAAAAAGAACGTCATGTAGATAGGAAAAAGAGGATTCACGAATACAGAAAGAAAAACACAAACTGAATCAACTTGACCTCCGATTTTTTTAAATACAAGATAATCGAACCACAGATGTAGATAATTTTCTGTTGGAGTGTGGTGAATCTGTTGTATGTACCAGATATGGAAACATTCATCCATAAAAAACGCTATTTAAAGAGAATTCTCCAGTGACAGATAGAAGGAATATTTACAAAATCTCCACAAATACAATTTTTATGATGTTCCACGTATGGAGTCAAAGCTATTCATCAAAACTCTACATAGAACTGATTCGGTCGACTAGACGTTTTTTTATCCAATCAGCAATATATGAAAAGTCTATCTATATCGGCCTGAATTGGAATGGAATGAGAATACATGGTTGGGAAGTCAATATAATGAAATGTTAGGTGAGTATCTTACGGATAACTGAAGCAAAAGAAAAACCTCTTTAACAGTGAAATCTTGTAGTTAGATTACCCATCTCGGCTTCAACTAACGATGATTTCGTAATAACGCAAGTCACTCAGCAGTATTCGTCATGTACTATTAAGACTATACTTATATAAGATATCATACCTTATTGCTTTTAAGCACTCAGTGTTCAAAGGGTAGATTTTCAGTTCGAATCCCGCCTCATCTAGCAATTCATGGATAATACACTAGTATCACCTACACCTTACGTGATGAAGTGTAATTCAAAGCCAAATTTATAAATTTGGAAGTAGCAAAAGTTAATTATAAATATACCAATGATTACTGTATTAAAAAAAATATATAATTACTGTTTGTCTTGTCTGCGCTGAATATGTTTAGTGATCGCCGTTGTTGTTTTTCTTGTCGTCGCTGAATTGTATTTTTGAATGTTACATAGTTTTTCCTGCTTCAATTGACCTAATCTATTCTGATAAAAATTCTTACTACATTCTGCAAGAAATACTTTGCATCTAAAACGGGAAAAAGCAATATAGAGGAATTCATGAAGACAAACGTTAAAGATGATATGTTTGCGACTTCCCTTACGTGAATACTACTGGATTCTATTCGGTGTACTAAGGTATACTGTAATGGTGAAGCGGTCAAAATAGTTCTGATTCGGCAGTTTTGAAAATAACTTCAAGATTTAGTGTTGTTTACTTGTACCTTCCCATTGTTATTTCGCAATACGCCCAATGATTACATTTCTTCTAACATTGCTTATCTGTCTGTTGTTTATTTGAATATAGTTTTTATATAGCATTAATTGAATGTTGGTAGAATTTTTATTCCTTTAATTTTTATTCGATATGTCAGTCTCCTGACATAGAGTAAAAAACTGGACATATGAACGGCTTGTGATAAGGATATGGTCGTTGCTATGAAAATCTGAAATAACCTGAGGACTTACAAATTCAAACTTTAAATAGTTTCGTGGACTTCCTTGGAACTATCACAAACATGATAGGATGAGATTTGTGAATTCACAATACACAATATATTAAACTTGAATCAACTTTGACTAAATGATTTGTATAAATAACTCTTAATTACTAGATAAGTAGTATAAACACCACTCATTCGATGAGACAATTTCTAGTTTAAATCAGTATAGTTCAATAGTATCATGAGGGGATCATAACATCAAACAAAACGTTTATTTGCAGTATGATTTTTCCTTCAATCCTACTTCTTGTATTTAGTTTCGAGCTTTATGTACAAATGACTAAATTATACTCAAAAATCGGAAAATTCGAGAGATTGTAACAACGTATATTTTTAGACAGCGATTAGTTTCAGATGTATTTTTGCTCGTGCAAAAAGAAATATTAGTCACTGTTTATTAGATTTTGTAAGTCTGATCAGTTCATCAGATGAACAAAACTAATGAAGGCATTTAATGTAAGTTTGGTAAGTTGACAACCACTGATTGAAATTTCATCAAACCTTTGAGTTTAACGTGTCTATTCCATCAGCACTTTATTAACAAAATGATAAAGACAGTTGTGTGGATATACTGAGTGAATTCAATAAAATCCCCGAAAAAATGTATTTTATCATCACTTAACAAAGTGTCGCCTGCACTTCTTCTGTGCGATAATTTTTTGAAGATGTTAAGTATTATAGAGAGCAAGAAGATTTACTATTGAACCATTCAGACGTTAACTGTTCTCCTTATAAAAATAAATTAAGTGACACAGCTGAGTCGCTTTGATTCTTGTCAAAGAAATTAAACCGTATATCACTGAATACAATGTACCCAAATATAGAACTATGAAGTCTGTGGTGAGTACTACCTGAACTAATGAAATGTTAAGCATATCAAAGTAACTGGATATTACACATGATTTGTAGTAAGCCAGATCACACCTAGTAAACGAGTGTTTATAATTCTAACTGAAAAAAAACTTGAGTAAATAAAACTGTCACTGAGCTTATGATACTAATATTGCATCAGATTAGGTATGTAAATTACTTAATATACAGTCGTACAAGGTCAATACTGAAAGCTATTTCATAAAACTAACTACCAACTGATTAGTGTGCCATAAGTACATCAACAAATGAACTTCGTAAGAATTCCTATATTGACTTTTTTTAACCAATCATTTCAGAAATAATTTTCACGTGTTATTATCACTTGAAAATATATTTCACAATCATCTTAGTGTTACATTAAAATGTGCTAACTATTCTCCAACGTAAAGAAAACAACTCAACATTGCATAGTTTTTAAAGTAGCCTTCAAACACAACATTCTTTTAAATAAAGTTTTAATTAAAAGCATAGTGAATATGAAGGTCATTTTGTGATGATTGGTTAGTCTCTGTTTATCTACGCTTTGTGACTAAAAAATGCATATGTTACATAGATGCATTGGTAAAAGTGTAAAAACCAATATTTATCAAAGTACAAAACAAGATTTGCCAAAGCAGTTCAAAAGATGATGTACTACAAATCACTTAGTTCATTTAGCTGTATGATATGATTTCAAGGGAAATAATTGTACAATAAAGGATGTATTGATGTGTATAAACATTGTCTGAAAAGACTGGTTTCTTTTGTAGGTAGCTTGTTTCAGTAACGCATATCTTGATGAGTGAAATTATTGTAGGTGGAACTAAGATAAAGATAGAATGAGCGGTCAAATTAAACAACGGAACCAATCCATCACATTAAGAATTGGCAGTACGTACGTTGTATGAAAATATATGCACTTCAAGGTTGTTGTAAAACATAATTTTATGAGTATTTATTCAGTGTAACATAGCGATACGTTATTATTGACAAAATAATATTTTTATTATACGTTTGTATACTAAGTTAATTATTCAAAACTCCGACTAAAATTAAATGAATAACACTGCCTCTAAACTATTTTTCCCTGCCCGATAACAATATTGAGAAGTCCAGTTTGTACAGAAGCTTTCTTGATATAGACGCAAGGATATTTAGGCTTTTTATGAAATAAAATGGGACATTTATCCACAGTGTCAACACAAAATAAGCATGACAAAATGTAAGTAATTAGTCTTTAGGGCAATCATTTCCCAATCAACTAAAATCTTATTGTTAGGCCTATATCTTGAGCATTGTATCACTTGAACATAATTTTCTGTTCACAATTAAACGGAAATAATATGAACTACTCAGATAGAGTGAATGATAGTGAGAGTTCAAATATAGACGTTTCAAAATTGATACAAACCAGTGATGAATTCCCTCCGTTTTCAATGTATGTATTTCAATATAATTCTGTTTAAAATTACTTTGTGACAGTTTTTAATCATTTCTTCTCAACACATTCTACCATATAAGAACATTTTGAAAGGGATGAGTTACGGTGTCGTGTTGAAATTTCTTTTCCATAGACAACAGAATGGATTAGTGTTAGGATATTCGGAAAAATACACCAATAATTATCATGTTAAGTCTAATGGTGTCCTTGGACTTTAAATGGACATTCCCTATTGATCAGTATTTATTTCACTTGTTAAATATTGTAAAACTGTTGTTTTCTATTTTATGGTACGATGTGGTCTGTTTGGTTGGTATATAAACAGAGTCTGTTTGAAATATAACGATTCATATCTCAGAGGCTGAGACTTGTGTTCTGGACCCAACTGGCTGGGCTAGACAGTGAAGCAGGGCCAATCGGGACTCTAGGTCGTTCGTACGTGTTTTTCGTGTCATTGATCCGATCGATAAATTCGCTTCGTTCTAATCGGCAGTCACAAGTTACAACAATTAGCAAAGGACATTCAGAAAGACTGAAACCTTTATAGTATATATATATATATATATATATATATATATATAACTGCTCATTTTACGGTAATTGATCACATGAATTAGAGAGAGTTTATCATTAATAGTTTGCAAAGAAACTTAGGCCGTGATAATGTTCAATTATGGTATAATATAGTTGTATTGTTCCAATGAGTAGAAAAATTGAGTTTTCTGACGTTTCATAACTCAATGCAAGCCACTTCTCTAGAGAATAAAGCAATGGTAGCGTGAGGAAGACAGTTGATATACAACCTCTTCTTCTACCATGGTCTTAATGTATTAAAATTTTTCTCTTTCTTCATACTCTCGTTCCCTTACAGCCAACTGCTTCACCTTCCATCTTCCCTTTAAATCTTCTACCCCCAACTGATTTGTTTTTATTTCCACGATCATTCCGATTACATTTCATCTCTGTTTTAACATTTTATTTTATCACGCCGAGCATCCTTTCCCAATGATAATTTCCCTATCTACCTATCTTTTGATGAATACTTAAGCCAATAAAAATCAAACGATTATTAAAATTTCCGTTTTAATTTTTTTTATATTTTTTAATACCTTTGTTTATTTAACCTTACTGTCACCATGTATAACAGAAGTTTATTATCAGTATTATCATCACCCTGTAAAAATAAGTATATATATATTTGCGATTGTGCAGCTTTGAAAATGAATTCGCCGAAAAGAGAACTCTTCGCTGAACTAATCTTACTTCTCAGTTGAAATACGTCAATATATTATCAAGCTGTACAATCGTATATATATGAAATTTTTTTTGTTAAAGTACTAATTCCGTGAGGAAATGTGAACACGAATAACCAAGATGGCGAATAGAAGATTACAATACTAGATTACGCAATACGAATAATAACATTAGATTTAGTGAATATAATAAAATGATTAAAATGTTTTTGTCATAATAATTAAAGGTCATAGAGGTGTAAAAATAATAAATAAGGTGATATGATGAGCATTTACGAATAAAACAATGAGAATATAAGACAAGTAAAAGGGAATATAATAATAATAATAATAATAATAATAATAATAATAATAATAATAATAATAATAATAATAAAGGCCAAGGTAACGATAACAATAAGACGTACTTCTTTTGTACGCATCGTTATGGTTTGAGCTCGTGGATGGTAACAGCTTCGGCTATTTTTAGGAGTTGGATATGAAGAAAACTAGGTAGATTTGAACGAATCATATAAACAACCTTAGAATTAAATTGTGGATCCGTAGAATGATTACAGTCGATTAGGTGTTCAAGTATAGAACTCCTAACTGCTTTTCTTTCACCCTTGTAGAACCAAACTGGGACCTGTTCCCGTATCCAAGTTGAAAGCGAGCGCTGGCTACGGCCAATGTACCTTGCTCCACAAGAGCAGGTGAACTGGTAGATGCACATGGAGGCGACCAGACGGGGAAGCTTATCTTTTATGGATACAGAAAATACGTTTCTACTAGTGAAGGATATTCGCAGTTTTGCCGCGTTAAATGTTCTTCTAATAGTTGTTGTTAGACGATTTTTGATTACGTCTGATGTTCGATCACCTTTAAATTCCAGACCTATATAAAGGTTTTTCTTTGGAACGGAACAACTAGAATTCTTGTCGCGACTACTTCTACTCATATTCTTCTCTATGAAACGGTCTGGGTAGTCATTTTTCGTCAAGGTTTTCCTGAGAAATGAGAGTTCTTCGTTAATGTATTGCATACTGCATATCTGATGTATTCGATGAAATAAAAAGTGGATGAGATTTCTCCTCCTACTTAAAGGAACCCAACTATAGAAGTTGGTTAGCTGGTCATTCCATGTTTGTTTTCTATAGATGGTTCTTTTTAAGGAACCATTACTCCTTCTCATTAGACGCACATCGAGAAAAGAGATTGATTGGTCTCTCTCGCTTTCTAACATGAAGTCTATGGAAGGGTAACATGAGTTGAAGGTGTGTAAGATATCCTCTAATTCGATATTATCGTCACAAACGACAGTTGTTCTCCATGTATCTTACGTATAGGTGAAATCGATTAATCATTGAACTGAGTTGGTCGATTTCTAGTTTTGCCATAAAACAGTCTGCTAAAATTGGACCCCATGGAGATCTCATTGCGATCCCACCTCTTTGTCTATATATTTCATTGTTGAAATTGAACTGGACATAAAAGGTACAACGTAACAATAGTTCTTTCAAGTGTTCAGTCGGCAAACCTAAATCTATGTTGTTTCATATACGATTGTACACCTTGATAATAAATTCGTTGAAAAGAGATCCCTTCGCTCAACTTCGTGTTTCAATTTTTAGTGTTTTTTGGGAGTTATCTGTCAATAGGTCAACATGACAAAAAGAGATCTTTAATTCAAACGCACATTTCTTCCTACATATATTAACACACTTACTCTCTCCACAGTGTAGACTCTAGCCAGCACGCAATAAGCCTACGACAAACCGTTTCACGGATAGTTTTACAAACATCTTTTTCACTTGTACCTAGAATGATTTAAGAACACAATAAACGTAATACATTATAATGTCAGTGTGAATGATTAGTCTTACAGTTTTTCTCCTTGGATAGCACAAAGTCATATCAGTATGAGAAAATAAGATACTTAGATAATGAAAAAGAATGCGGAATAAACTGATTAATTTAATTATTATAAAGTTTTTTCATTCCAAATTGTTACTGAAGGTAGACAGTGAAAACTAGGCTTGAATATTAGCTATTTTCAGGCCAATATTTTGAGTTTTCAAAATGTACTTAACGTGTTCAACGTTTTGAAATTTTCATTCATAACAATTAACAGATTGAGTTTTAATAGAACACACAAACTCATTATGTTCTCTTTGCATTCAAAGTTTATCAATTTTTCATTAAAACAGTAAACGACCTTGAAAAGGTTAATTGAAAGTGAGATTCCTGAAATTCAGTCTATCTCAGTAGATTTAAAGCAATTTGCGAAATCGAGATGATTTAAGTAAAAAAATAAAATATTCAATATGCTATCACATTTCAAACACTTAACACAACTCTCTAAAATAGATAGGTAGACTACATCAACATTAGGTAAATTCTAGTATAAACCATAAAACCTGAATCACAAAAGCATGGGTGAACTATCTTTTTAGCAGGAGTAAAAGAAAAGTTATTAGTTAAATGACTTTTCTAGTCGTAACGTGACTGTGTTTGAAAAGCAAACAGTACAGTCAGTTTATCTCGCTAACAAGGAGAATTCCCCATAACAATTATTTTCTCGTTGACCCCGAAACTCGATACCATCGAAAAGACTAAATGAGGAAGCTGCATAGAATATATCAATTGATAGATGCAAAGGATCATTGTACAAAGTAAACATCAAAAGAAATTACTGCAGGACCAATAAAATAGACCAAAAATCCATTTACATCGAGATTTAATATTCCAATTAGCCCGACAAGTTTATTATTGACAAATTCAAGGGAAAAATGTTCACCTTTAAGTTTCACGAATGGTGTTTGAAAGAGATTTTTTTAAAAACGCTTAACTACTAGATGCTATTGAACTGTTGATAAATGATATAAGATACCACTCAATATTACATTAAAACTAATCAATAGCTATAAGTAATATACAACCAATGATATCATCCTGAATACTGTTAAGTTGGTTTCATCATTTACCACGGCGTCTGACTGTTAGCTACAATCTAACCTCGTCAAAAACTTGCAATTAAATGTACTACCGAGATAATCATATAAAACACACAATGCTTTAAAATGCATAAATAAGTAAGGATCAGGTTATACAATAATATAATCAATACGACTAGTTTATAATTAAAGGTAGAATTTAGTGATAAGTTATTTGCATTTTAGTAAATACATGAACGATAAATCAAATGACTGTTCTCTACTTCATGTTTACATTACCTGGAATATTCTCTTGTTGTACAACTGTTGCATCAATATCAAATTCTCCATGCAAAATATCCATGAAGAAATCTGCTGGATTATTATGACCTTCAATGAAATAACCTTTAAATAAAAAGTAGATAAGCTATGATTAGATCGAATTCGGTGTTCCAATATATAACAAGCTTTTTGGTTGGAACCCATTTTTCAGTCCAACATTTTGTACGGAGAGTAGTAATACTACTACCACTACCACCCAGTTACTTAGATCGATGTAGGTTGTGCGAGATTTGGAAAAAACAAGTAGTTGGAAATTGGATCCAAGACCTACTCTAAGTCTGTGTTTAGTATATTGGAAAAATATATATACATATATTTCACAAAATAGTATGACATAATTATGATTTAAGGGAAGAAACGAAGAAAAAATTAAGTGAATAATATTAAGAGGACATTCTGTAATTCTGTTATGTCCCGACAAGAATAATGAATGGTAACTTTTGGGATATATTGATGGACCAATATTAAACGTATATTTCTATTGTACAATTATTAGGTAACTAAACTATGCATATTCATATTCCTCTTATTATAAGCTTTGTTTTGACCCATAAACTATTGTTATACATTTTACCATTCTTGAGTTCTACCCAGTATATTAATTACTACCCCCCTCATCCACAGCCACATCTGCCTAATTCGTGTACAAATGTTGTTTCGTATTTCACTGGTACGTTGTGGTCTGTTTGATTGGTATATAAACAGAGTATATTTGAAATATAATTATTCATATTGCAGGGGCTGAGACTGGTGTTCTGGACTTAACTGGCTGGGCTAGGCGGAAAGCAGGACCAATCAGGGCTCTAGGCTGCTCGCACGTGTTTTACGCGTCCTTGGTCCAATCGATAATTCGCTGCTTCTGATTGGCGGCTTTGGGCATAGCAAATTCATAGTGAGACAACTAGTGATTTCGCGTTTTTTTTAATTGTAAAAATAGCATGTCGACCAAGACAATGTTTCGGACTCCATAGAAGAGATTACAATATATCGGTAAAAAACCAACGACTATTCACTTAACTGTAACAATTCATTAACAATCAGTTTGTGGGTTATTTAGACATTTTTCAAACAATTAAAAAACGGAATGGGTTTTGTGATTTTTAGGAATTTCACAGATTAGAAGCATGAGTCAATTGAAGCTAGACCACCATGGGAAACCTGGAAGCACTGGACGGCCGTCTCGTCCTAGTATGGGACTCCTCAGAAGTGCGCATCAACGAAACGGCCGTCCAGTGCTTCCAGGTTTTCCATGGTGGTCTAGCTTCAATTGACTCATGATTCCAATCTGTGGAATTAAAAAACGCCCAATATCTGGAAGTTATACGATAAAACACGTGAAAATCATCCTAATAATAGATACTTAGTATGAGGTACGTTGTAAGTCAGGGAAAGATTGAATAGGAATTTCAAAGTAAAATGTCAATAAAACGGTGGTTAAGAAAGATTTATTTGAATATGCAATACAATAAATAAGTCTGTAGGTCACTTCTAAATTGTTTACGTGAAAAAACACAACAGGATATAAATGGACTCATAAAACATCGTTTAGAATAAGGGTGGAGGAGGAATATCTCAACAATGTAATAAAGTTGAATAACTAGTCTTAAGGTTATATACTCGATTCTGTGTGGCCGCATGACTTGAGATGTCCAAATTCTAAGATGAGATAAGTATTTGTTGCTCTTCAGTTCCCAATGCCTTTTTATCTCTTTCGTGATGAAAATTTTTATTAAAATGAACAAAAGTTTATACAAAAAAACACCCAAGAAAACCTTATTTTCCTACGATAATGACTAGCTGTAGGAGTTAAACCATTCGACCTTCAAACTTTGCCCCAGTTAATTTAGTTTGAGGAGCCGAGTAATCCTACTCGCTTTCGCATTTAAAAACGTGTGGCTCATGATTGAATAGGAAATTTTATGCTTAGTTACTGAATTGCATAATTACTTATGTTAGGGGAGTTGACTGGTAAACAAATCGTTCGTGACGAGACGAATTGAAATATGGGAAGAATGTGTTTAATGATGTGAACAATCAACTTGAATTACACATTTACACATTAGTTTCGTGGAAACCACACTTCAGTGATTGCTGAAAAAATAATCCATAAGTAATGAAGCTAACCGTGACAACCTATGTTTGCACCGCAATAAACATTTACACTTGTATGCAACACAGTTGCACACTTTAGAATGAGAATAAGGAAAATCACCGGTAAGGCTAATTAGAAGTAATCAATATACCAAACATAAGAAATTTTTTCTCCTTATCATTCTTACTACTGACCACAATTTTCAAAATGAAGAATTGGCTTTTGACCACCAGGTCCATGGTAAATCATTTGTCCATTGGAAATTATAGTAAGTCGATCAAATCGACGATAAATTGAATATTTTGGTTGATGGATTGAAAAAACAATTGTCCGACCAGAGTCTGCTAATCTGAAAAACGAATTTTAAAAAAACCGATATTCTACAGTGCTTAAATGTTAGAATTTAAGACAAAACTTTACATGATTAAGGCATTTTTCACGAATAAAATATCTAAAAATGTAAACTAACTCATTCACCAGATACTTGGGTATGAGCCACATTCTAAGTGTGACAGCTAATAATACTACTCCGCTTCCCAGACATAAATAGATAGGGTTGGGTTCAAACCTGGGGCATATAGGCTGGAGGTCAGACTTTGGATACTAAGCCACCCACTCCGAAAGTACTTAGGATTAGCAAAGCAACAGTTGCGGATAAATTTCATGATAACATAAGTAGAAATATGTACACAGATGAATGAGTTTTTCAACAAATGTTATTAAGAATTTGTATTTCTGGCCGAAAATGCGCTTCAATGTTATCAGTGCAAGGTTTGCTCGAAAAGCATTTTTGTCACAGCCAGCTTAAGACTTCAAATCGTAGGGTGCCAGCACTCCTAAATCTTTTCAACTTGGGATACTCCTAGAGAGGAGTTTCCTAAATTGTAACTGTACTCTGCAACATGTCTCAGGTGGACTACTTTACACTTTGAAGTGTTAAAGGTAAGTCTGTTGTCATCTGCCCAACTTCGAATTCGAGTCATATCCTCTTGGTTGCGTATCTCTCTAACGTTTCACATCATCAACAAAAAGTAGTAAGTTAGACGACACCTGTTGTGGAAGATCGTTTATATAAATCAAGAGAAGAAGAGGCCCCACTATGACATTCCACAGCCTGAGAGAAAGAGAAGTTAACCCTGACCTTAAAATGTCGATTCTTTAGATATGAAGTAAGCCAGTCAATCGGAGGTGATTTGATACCCAATGGTTTGAGCTTATTGATAAGACATACATGGTTGACCCTATCAAAAGCTTTTGAGAAGTCAAGGTAAATGACGTCAACCTTTTCCTTGCGATCAAGGATGGTTGTCTATCTGTCCACCGCAGTCAGCAGGTTGGTTATACAAGAGTGATGTTTTCTGAAACCGTGCTGTTGGGATGAAAAAACGTTTAAAGGCAATAAATAGTCGTGTATATCGTCGCATATCAAGGACTCCATAATTTTTGAAGGTCGGTAGCTTGAAGTTTCGCTGCGTCGACCTCCTTTGAAAATTGATGTGATATGTACCAGCTTCCAAATGTCCGGTAGTTTGCGTTGGATTAGCAAGTGTGAGAACATCACGCTAAGCGGTGTTGCCAGGATTGAAGCTGCTTCCCTCAGTATAAATTTTCATAAAAAAGTGTCTTAACAAGTATATGTGTAATCAGATTGTTCGAAATGTATCACATAATTCTGATACACTTCGTCTTCTCATTGCATCATCGAAATATATTTCTTTGAGGATTTTGATTATCACCCTGAAGAAATCCAGACAAATTAGCTGAACGAAACGTTGGAATTATTTAAACTTCAATCGCTGAGATTATTTCAAATATAATTTTCTCATAAACTGCATATTGTTTAAAAAGTCACAAAATATTTTATCATCCATTATTGTACTGCTTTAGGCCGACAAATCCTATCAAATGCAATACTAAACAAAACACTTATCCGAGAATACACAATTAAAATGCAATAAAATATAAAAATTTCAACACCTCAATAACGATAAACAAGTCTAAATAAATGTCAGTTTATTTTTGAGGAATGGTTTATAAGCTGAAGTAGTCGACTTTCATCCAGACAATAGGGGGTTCATGTTCCGTTCTAGGAAATTTAGCTCAAGCAGCCAAGTAATATCACCAGCTTTCATATAGACAAAGAGTAATGGTTTATTGGTTGGGACATTTCGCTTCCAACCAGCACGTCTCGGTTTCGAACTCTGCCACCCCATTGACCTTAGTTTGGGCAGCTTCATAGTACAAATAGCCCTTCACCAAAGTGCGGCTCAAAGACGAGAATAAAAACCTACATTTGGTGACTGAATCACATTGCACCGCATCCATAGAAAAATCATGATCTGAAGCTAATTACACAAACACATACTTGATTTTTGAGCAGCATCATGAAGAACTAGTCATAATGAGAAGTTCAAATATAATATTTATAAACAACACGTACACATAAAATTTAGTACATAAACTTCAAGTATGTGCTAAATGCTAAGTTTTATCTAATAATGCAAGCTTTGTTACTTTAATCCATATAAATTGGAAATATAGTTGGATAATCATTCCTGGAAAAGGTATTTTATTTTCTTATGATTGACACAAGAAAAAGTTTCTTTACGAAACAATTTTGGGAAGGTCAGTAATCTTGTTGAAATAATTCCATAGAACAGTATGTTTGTTGCCTTATTCACGGATGACCCGCTAATAGCCTATATATAATAGAGATAAAAATAGTTGTATAGTCATTAAGCAAGAGCGTTGGTCAAACGGGCCTCAATTTGGGATTTCAGAAAACCCAGTGTTATGATTCCTCTTACTACCACCAACCAGAGACTCTTATTGCTCGGTAATCTTGGACACTACTTCACTCGACAAGTCCCCAAATCAGAACACAATTGGACAGGAACGTAATTACATTCCAAATAACAAGGTTGGGCGGCATTAGAAATCACAATAAGAAAGACGTTTGGTATACTTCACGTAAGAAAATTCTAGAGTCTGCTTTAAAAATCCGCTAGCGCTAATTGGTTATGAAATAGCTGATCAGCGTGCCACAACACAATTCTGTACGATCATGCTTTGATCTAATCCATATCGCACTAACACAAAGATTCCAAGTGATTCGTGGTGTTTACAAGTTCCAAGCTTTTGAATAAACAACCACATATGAAGTTATTTCATTCACTGAAAATAATAAGAATGAGTCGCTTGACATTAGCTCATTGCATAGTGCATCAAATTTTAAATCCGAAATAGAAGTTTACTCATGCGAATTACAGATATTGTTTTAGTGACAATATTTTTAAAACAAAAAACTATATTTACCTACCGTCTAAGTGTTTGAATTACTGTCCCAGCAGTGTACGAATCTAAACCTGTTGTAGGTTCATCCAGATAGAGAACTAAAGGATCATTCACTAATTCAATACCGATACATGTACGTTTACGTTCACCCCCAGAAACACCACAGGTTGATTGAGTTCCAATCTGCATTTTTGTAACGGTAAGATTTATATATATATATATATATATATATATATATATATATATATATATATATATATACCAAAGTAATTAATTTTTCTTCTACATATTTTAATGGGGATACGAATACAGACATTCTAGATGACCTTACGATAGATAATTAAGGCTAAAATGTGTTGACTCATTTTTTATCACAAGCACATTCTTCGGCATTAAAAATTACTAAGGTCCTAGGTACTGATTGCTGCTCATCTTATTAATATGATATCGACAACCCAAAAAAATTCAAGAATCCATCAAAGTTATAAAAAAGATTATTTACTCTCCAAAATACAAACGCTACGACGACTAAATGTTTAATGTTTAAGTACATGTGACCTAGATTGGTTATATCCAATGATTGTATCCAATACACATATGCACATAAGAGACAAAAGTAAACAGGGTCAATGGTATAGTTAGCTGTTAATATATCTTTTTCTCGAGGTCATGTAATTTTTATCTCTATAATTAAGTGATATTATTATGTACCCTTTAAGTAGATCATATGCACTCATTAACCCAAATTTAAGCAACTGACAGTCAATTTCACCTTATTGCATCATAGGAATACCCGACAACTTGAAGGCTGTGAGAAAATCTATGATAGAGACTGTAAATTTATGGCCGTATGAAGGTGAGGTCAGAATTTCTTGACCTTCGGCTATAGTAGAGGATGTAACGCTGATATTTTATTCTACATACTTTTCTTTGGTAATGGGAAGAGTAGTACTAATAATAAAAAACAGTAGTATTAATAGGAATATATAGTAAGTATTCTTTGAAGACTCGTTACTCTGGTATTCATAGTTCATGAAGAAATACCTTTTTATTTAACTGACTGGAAAATATATTCAAGAGATAAATCAATATAAATGACATGTATCAGACAAATCTTAAAGTTTAAAAGTTCACAAGCCCGTTGGCGGTTTGAATGGAAGGAGAAATATAAAATAACTACAAAACAAATTTCCATCATATTTAGCAGATTTATTTGAATGATCGAATTTGTTTGGTATGAATATATAGATCCAAATACATATTTTCTGTACAGTGCTTGAATAACAGACACCAAGTAAAGTACAATGGGATATCGTCCAACCATTTACCATTGTCTTTAGTGGGTAACTGACTAACACCTGACGCGGTTGAACTCCACTGATGACTGCTTCTTACAATGATTTCGAGAATTAATGCGCACCTGTAAACACATGATAACCATCAGTATAGGGGGTTTGTCGAAATTTCTTAATGTTATTGGAATTACGTATATAACTAAATTAAACTGTTGTTGAAAACCAGGACACACTGGACAGTTGTTTCGTCCTGGTGTGAGAATCCTCAGCAGTGAACTCCTACGACTCCACCAGGAACCAAACTCAGGACCTCCAAACCTCCTGCCGAGCATTTAACCTATGAACCAATGAGTTAATGTTTGAGGATTTACATGTTTAACTTGAATCAATTCGCGAAATGCAAGACATTGAATACCACTTCAGTGGTCTAGAAGTTAGAGGCTTAGTGAGAGAATCGAAGGTCCTGAGTATGATCCCTGAGTGAGTCATATATTCGCACTTCTGAGCCGCACACTAGAATGAAACAGTTGTCCAATGTCTCTTGGTTTTGAGTGGTTATCTAATTTAAGTCTGTTCATAATCTCAACAAAATTCAAAGATCTCCACAAACACACCATAAAGAATAATTCAACATACAAATGCCATTTCCCACAATCAAATAATACATCAAAAATATTCAGAGAACTTACTATCCGATCAGCAACAGAGGTAAGACCAAGTTCTTCAATGACACTGGACACTTTTTCTTCTCTTTCACGCGCAGCAGTACAACGAGGTAATCGTAGTGTAGCAGAAAAAGTAATGTTCTCTCGGATTGTAAGTGTTTCCATGACTATATTTTCCTGAGGCAAAATAAGACAGTGCATCAAGAAACCACGAACACACATATATATCTCGAAATTTCGCCAGAGATTTTTTAGTTGAAAAATGTAAGTTAATCAATTATCATCAGTGTAGAATTTGGGACTAGTATATATTGGGTCACGTTATCAGGAAGATGAAAATAAATCCAGATGAATTGATGCGACCTATGTTACGCCATACCACTCAAAGTTTTTGATAGGTGATAATGTGTATTACACGGGCCCCGAACAGGAAGCCGATAGTCAACAGCTTTATATCTTGTACCATACCCCTAGCTTTTGTTTAACTTACCCCTATACTGGTCAGCACTCGAAGCCTGAGAAGGTGACGGCACAAAGCATTTGTGAACCGCCTCAGTCGATATAGACTTATAGTTTCATCAATCGACAGTAGTTTAGATAAAACTGTTAGTTGAATGCACAATATTCAAGTTGTGATATATAACTTCTGATAGAACTTTACAGCATGATTTATTTGTTAATATCAGAGCAGTCCAGTAAAAAAACACATTTTTATGCAGTAAGATTAGATTAGTTTTGATATGAGTGAGAAATGCCCATCGTTTGAAAAACTTTAAGTTGAAGAGTCTAAACCTCTAACCTGGCAATTTCAGGTTAAGTACATGTAGGGGAAAATATTTAACTTGCATGGAAATAGCAATTCTGAGTGTGACCCAAAAAAAGAAACGAAATAATACTACGATCAAAATATAGAGGATCATAAAAAGATTGTATAAATATGTGCATTAATTGTTGATTTTCAGCCACATTACTTAGAATGTGTGACCATCGTTTCATGGATTGCAACCAAAATGTTTGTATCAACCTAGATGGATCAAACCTGAACTTAGTAACCCAATGTACCTAAGTTGTTTTCGTCTCGCTGTCCCCATCTTTTTATCAGCCCACTCTTATGATAGTCGATATAGTGGAATGGGGTGGTTGGTGGCTCTAAATATAGGACTCATAATTCAGTCAAATCACTTGATGAAATTTCACAATCTCATCTATCGGTTTACCACTACCTAGGACTTTAATTCAGTCATTATAATACATTAATGCATTAAAACATCTCTGATCAGATAATTACAAACCCACATGTGCATTTTACTATCGAAAGCGACATTTCACAACCTTTAAGCAAAACACAGAGAACTATTATGTCAGATAAGCAGAAGAAAGTGTTCCCTGTCCGTCAGGGAACAGAAGCCGATAAAAACCAGGATTTTTATTTTATCCACGCTGAGACTTCGTCACTCACCGTCTTACTATACTCAACAAACCCACTTATATAGGCCAATTAACCACAATAAATACACGCCTTTTTTCACAGATTGAACTCATGAGTCAGTTGAAGCTAGACCACCATTGAAAACCTGGAAGCACTGGACGGCCGTTTCGTCCTAGTATGGGATGTCGGCTCAGTGGTCTAATGGTTAAGTGCTCGCGCGCGGAGCCAGTAGGTCCTGGGTTCGAGCCCCGGGTGGTGCGGGGTCGTGGATGCGCACTGCTGAGGAGTCCCATACTAGGACGAAACGGCCGTCCAGTGCTTCCAGGTTTTCAATGGTGGTCTAGCTTCAACTGACTCATGAGTTCAATCTGTGGAAATTTCTAAAAATCTCCACAAAAAAACACATTCTGATAATAACACGCCTTTTTACCGACCATCAAATTAAACAATATCATGTTAACATTCCTTTCTCTATCTTCCTACAATCTCATTTTTATTGTATGGGGCATATTTATTTTGGTGCCCCTTTATATTATTATATATGTGCTTCGTGACCGGAGCAACTACCGTGACCTGGTGATCGGGCTTGCCTGTCGTGATTACTCAGTAGAACTTGACAGCAACAAGGTGTTCCCTTCGGACAATCAGAAACTGCAGCGATGTTGCCTTTCCACAAAGGAAGAGATTAGAAAAAATCGACCCTAAAAATGCCATATTTCAAATTAACCCACGGATTTTTTTCTTCAGAGGTAAAAAATTTTAAGGTGCGGAGCTAACACATCAAAACCTCTATGAAAAGGCCATGCGTGATGGGCCTCAAGAAGTTGTCTATTGGGCACTGTAGTCATACTCCCAGCTTACTAAAACTTCTACCAACCCAGATTCCTTTCCAGTTCTCTCAAAAAGAAATATACTTCTACGGAGTAGGGAACCGGGAAGTGACAACCGCCACTTATCTGATTGCATCTTGGATGAAGTTGAAGATGAGCTTAATGGTAAACTATCCAACCTCCTTCGATATCTAAACGCTTAGATGTAGTAGTAGTATTAATGACAGGTGATTGTAATGCTCACGTAGGTAGACTAAGCCGAACCGAAAGCCAGTTAGGTTGATCTTACAGTGTCACGGCTTAACGAACAGATAATAGCGATTATCTGCTGCAATTACGCTCAAATAACCGTATATTTCTAGTAGGCACCCACATTAAACATAAGGTAAGACATCTTCTGACGTAGTGAACCCCACAATCGATCCAACGATGAACTCAAACAGACCATAATGTCATCAGCTATCGTTCGAGAGGCTCGATAGATTACTGATAATTCAGGAGCACGTGTTTTGACCCAGATTATGCTGTAGCTCAGACAAGTATTTGTTTAAGTCTCAATGTATGTAAGCAAGCCACAGCAAGGAAATCTTTTATAGTTCAAGTTATGATGAAAAAGTTAAGTATACATTTCAGGAACAACTAGAGTTGTTCAATAATAAAAAGCGAAACCAGCTCGAGATAGCTTGAAATGATGTTCAAAAAGTTGTTGAAACAGTAATGATATTCACTAGTAACTTAAAACGAAAGGTTAAGAAGAACCAATGGATTTCAGCTACGCCTACTGAACTGAAAGATGTTCAGAAACTCATCGAGTCTAGCTACAAACACGATGAGGACTGGAGGAAGCTTCAGCGTAGGCTGATAAAAATCCTACACAACGATCGTGAGCAGTGGTGGGTAGTGAAATCAGAAGAGAAGGGATAGGCAGAAGCAATAAGTAACAGCACACAGCTGTTCAGACTCATAGAGAAAACTGGTATTAAAAATCCAGCTGTTAGTGAGACTTTCTCGGAAAAAGATAGGACCATTATTCACTCTCAATCCAGGAGATTGGACCGGTAGGAAAAACATTTTAGAAACAGTTCATCTAGCCTACAGCCACATTTCAGTTACCCACTATCTCCAAGCAACCTGAATGACAAACTGAAGCAAGTCCTCCAACTCTTAGCGAGGTTGAATGGGTTATAGGCAATCTATAGCGAGGGAGAAACAGAATCTGATGGATTAACCCCTGAGACTTTTAGGGATAATGGTCCAGTTTCAGCAACTGAATTAACTGAGATCTTAGCTAAAATCTAGAAACCGTACGAAATCCTATCTGACTGGTCTCCATCGCTGATCATCCCAGTTTATAAGAAACGACAAAAATCCTCTTGTGACAATCACATAGGAATCAGTTTAACTAATACGGCGTCTAAAACATTATTTTCGACAATAATTTTATACTTAATCAGAACTTGTGAAGAGCAAACTCGAGAAAACCAGGCTGGTTTCAAACCTGAACGTGGATGCATAGACTAAATATTTAATTTTCAGCAGATTTTGGAACATAGAAATACCTTTTGACGTCTGAAATTATTTGTATTCCTTGGCCTTAAGGCGGCATTCGGCTCTCTTGATAGTGGCGTTCTGTGGCAATATCTGTCACTGAAAGGCGTAGCAAACAAGTACACTAACTTTGTAAAAGTCCTCTACTGGAATACGACCAGTCGAATCGAAGCTTATGGAAAACTGTAATCATAATTGCTTACTTCAAGTGGTATTCGTCGGGATTGTCCGCTTTCTCCATTTTTACTTAAATTTGTCAGAGACGTGCTTTCATAAATAACACTTTCATCGTCTGATTTTTCAGAAATTGGTTTTTCATCAGTAGATTAACTTGTTGACTTAGAATACCCAGATGATATATTTCTGTTAAGCTAAGACGCTGACAAAACGCGGTCTTCTGACCACCTTAAGCAACAATGCAAGCATGTTTGGGATGAGATTCTCTCTTTCCAAATGCAAAATGCTGCTTCAAAAATGGCTTGCGTCAGCACCTTAACTAAAGATAGGGTGTGAAGTAGTTGAGCATGTCCACCACTTCACTTGTATTGGGAGTCTTATTAATCCTGATGTCCTGGTGTTTGTCGGAATCTCAGCATAGATTCAGAAGGCCCAATTGGCCTTAGAAAACATGCGTCACTCGTGGTGTAGTTGAAATATCCATCTGCCAACCGGTGGACCAGAATTGAGGATATTCGTAATTAACTAGTATTCGGTCATAGGCGTCTTCCAAGCATTTTTTGTGCCTTTTTGGACCACCGGGCAAGCTATACGTGGTTTAGGAATGGTGTACTAAGTAAGGATGACAAATCTATTGATAAGTTAGTAAAAACTCATCAACTGAAGTGGTTAGGACATGTGTGACATATACCCAACCACCGCCTACCTCGATGGGCGATGTGTTCTGGTGGAGTAGGCTGGAAAAAATGCTAGGGGTGAAAGCACCAAGACATGACATCAGTTCATGAAGTCATTGACAGCTTCACTGAGCCGTGCTAGTAGGTGTAGACTGCCTGGTTGAGGTCCTGGTGATTATCGTAACCAATGGTTAGAGACTTGCAATAAAATAGCTCAAAACCGTTCTTAACGGCACAGGTGCGTCCATTTTTTGCCTTCCACCAAATCCTGATCCCTTGAATCACTCATAACCTTTCTGTCTTTATTTCATTAATTTATATATTGTTGGATCGCATCTTCGATGCCTAATCTTTCCAATCACCACTCACATTGTTACTACCCCAACTACTCTGGGATTTGACCTGACAACTTGAACCGACATACGTACGTAACAGGTTCTGCGTTGTGACTAGACGACTGATTGACTGAATGAATGGTATAATTATGAACAATTTGATGCAGTCAATTCAAATCATGTTTGGCTACGAGATGTTTCCGAAAACGAACGCTCTAGTAAAGAGCTTTTAGCAGTGATTTACTTGTTTTGCAAGCCTCTCAGTATACAACTCTGAAGGAAGCTCGGTCAATAAGCTCACGATCATACCCATAACCTGTCTAATTTCTCCAGTGATCATTGTTTTCAAGCTCTAATTAAGCATCAGATAATTATAAAGACTATGTTTTAAAAAACAATATTGGTTGAGTCTTCGGGGGGGACCACAAGAACACAGTACAAAAAATCGATATTTTATACAATATATTGGAAAGGTTACTTTTACGGAAACATGAATATGGTATAAGTAATTTAACGCTTAATATCTTCCGACAGGAGCAGTGACCTAGTGATTAAGGCAATCGACTCTGTCATTAAGTCATAGAATCGAATAGTGCCCCCACCTACTGCAACTTGAATGTCCGTGTAGTATTGTTATCCATCACATATAGAATGCCGGTCATACCTAAGTATCTGGTAAATGAGTTGGTTAAATTGAAGGAAGTTTTAATTTCAACGTTTAATTATTAAAAAAAAACATAGATGTTATTATACTGAGTTTAAAGGTTGACAATGACTGAAGCGTAGGTATGAAAAATTGTGTGACAAACAAAATTTGTGGGTGGAAAGTTAAACAGAAAAATCTAGAAGGTTCCTGGATATGCTACACACAGTCCAGTTTGTAAAAATAACTACTGAAACGCACTTTTTATTAGAGTACTCAATACATTCTATTTTTACCTGAACAACATATCCACAAAGTCGTCGTCGAACACTGCTTGGTAAAAGTTTGCCATTCAACAAAACATATCCAGTAAGTTGTGAAGGATTTTTACGTCCAGCCAGCACATCTAGGAGCCTTGATAATAGATAGAAAATTTTGACATTGAAGCAAGTTTCATGAAGCCGAATGCTAATTAAAATAGGAAGAGAAGAATCACTCTTAGTAGTGTCTAACTCACTAACTTACAAAGACCTTAACATTTAAAGTTCAGAAATCTGGGCCTTTAAACGTCTCCTTTTGTCATCAGTCAACGAATCAACCGAAAATATGTAAACCTTTGAAGCTGCTTAAATTTTCTTTGAAACTTCAAAATCCATGTGCGTTTAGTAAGGTTCTCGGTCCATTGGGTTGGAATCAATTTTCAGGTGGGTACGAAACTAATCCGTTGACAGCTACCTTAGGCTTAAGTAAGAAACCATTTCTAGTGTGGTCAGTTACGATGTGAATAAATAAAATGAGGAATAGTAGATACACACGACGAGAGGATCTTTATAAAAATCTTGGTAAATAAAGTCAAACTCAATAACTTAATAGCTAAGGCAGATTAACAAAGAACTTTCAGGTGATGACATTTTGTAGTGTGGTTTTACACTAAATCGAATGCAACATCAATTTATTTATTTATTTATTTGAATACATAAATATTGTTACAAAGAGGCACCGAATACATATGTGCAACATAAGTCATTTGATTTGTGTGTGGGCTGTGGACCCTCCGTGTCCACCAACCCGGTTAAAGCGCCGGACATTCACTTTACGTCCTCTCAATTTTGTAAACAACACCCCCGCCGCGAGAAGGCAGTGAGTAGGACTTCCCTGATGAAGGTTATATACGCGTGGCCATGTGAGAGCATTTCGGGAGGGAGAGCGGCCCCTCCTCACCTTCGGCCGTACCAAGGCATTTGGGGGCAAAATCAATAGGAAAACTGAATACAAATCAACCTAACAAAGCTAAGTGAGATTTTCGTGGTCCAGCAATGTCATAAAAATTATTATATAAGTTTCTGGGCATATGTTACTGATCAAATAGCTCGGATTTCAGTTGCTGAAAACCTCAAACAGATTTAGGCTAAATATATTTAGTATTCCTCTAAATTTACTTATGAAAAAATACTGTTAAGTATAACCATGTTTATTTGACTGTGAATCACATGATTTTAGCCCATTACCCTAACATTAGAGTGAAATTTAGAAGAGAGCATCGATCTAGTTAGACCAAGACAATAAAATGTGAAGTATCTGACTGTCAAAGTGAGCCTTTAGGATACTACCAACAATTTACTAAGCTTTATGATAGAAATTAAAGACCACAGTCAATACGACTCAAAATATTCCCGTAGCACACCAATATTCGTGCTTATTCACGACGGAAAAAGAAGTCATTTTATTATGGATCTTTTTATTCACCTCTTTTGAATAGTTTTCCTTCATTTTATTGAATGACTAAGATTCTTTATTTTTGCTTACCTCTATTTAATTTCTTTTCAGTTTGTTATGTATGAAGTAAATAACTTGCATCATCTGTAGGATAATAACATTAACTGTTGATAATTGGTAGTAGTAGTAGTAGTAGTATTGTAAATGCGGGCTAAAAGATGAGAAACTGGTGTTCGCTTATCTGTTATACATCAGTTTAATCATTGTGGACTCAGACGACAAACACATCGCTTTTTAAACCTCAACTGTACAACAAACCAATGCTTATTAAAGAGATCCTCCACTATGAAACCCTGTGGCAACCTAAAATGAGCCACTGACGTTTAAACTTGTAGTGATTTTTTTCGGTTGATGCATAATAAAGTTCATAGTTAAAACAACAAATCCAAAATATTCAACGAGTAAGTGCATCTTTAAAACCCCGTACATGTTCATGGGTTCTTAATACAGCCTATATTTATTCCAAAGTTAATGCATAACTACTTGAGAACCCAAATAAGTATATGTGACATGGTTTGAAATAGTGATTTTTCTTCCAAATATCATGAATACATATGAAATATTATAGTTGAATCCATGAGTCAATTGAAGCTAGACAACCATGGAAAACCTGGAAGCACTGGACAGACGTTTCGTCCCAGTATGAAGCCCCTCAACAGTGCGCATCCACGATCCCGCCTCGCGAGATGCGAACTCTGAACCTATCGGTCCCGCGCGCGAACGCTTGACCTCTAAACCAATGAGCCGAAATCCAACGGTGCTGATGTCTAGCTCCAACCAATTCATATATGAAATAAGTAAATTCACATGTGCGATATCATTAGATTTTAAAGTTTTCATGGAACTCACGTAGACTTTCCACACCCTGTCGGTCCGATTATTGCGTTCATTCCTGGTGGCATAAACCCACTAGATAGAAATTAAAAGGATGATTTTTTTATAAAAAGCTGGCAAAGAAAACCGAAATTTTGAACACCGAATTTATTTATTTGAACACGTCATTGGTACAAGTGGGCACCAAATACATATGCGCAACACGATAACAATGAGGCCAGGAGCAGTTATAATTGATTTGTGTGAGAGCTGTGATACTGCCTGATTGCCCAAACCGAAGCAGCTGATTTTCTTGGCGGACCACACCCGGAGCCTTTGACCTGAAGGTCTAATCCACAGTGCAGTGGAGCAACGTCAGGAGATGCAGTTCCATGGTAGCCGGTGACTAACAATAGGTTCATATGCCATTTGTTTCCTCAGGATTCTGGAGCCCATATGCACCATTGGTTTGGAATCAGGGTTTTCCAACTCTCCTAGTTGGATCCTCCATATCCATCAACCGGGTTAAAGCGCCGGACATTCGCTTTTCGTCCTCTCAAATTCGTAAACAACACCCCCACCACGAGCAGGCAGTGGTTGTATACGCGTGGCCATGTGAGAGCACTTTGAGAGGGAGAGCAGCCCCTCCGCCGTACCAGAGTATTTGGGAGTAAGGACTACATCAGTCATACATATTAATCGTAAACTACTTACTATTGTCTGTCAAATAAAAACAAGAAACACAATACCACTGGTAACACAAGAAAAATATAGAAGCTATAGTATAGTCAGGGTCAAGGATAATATTTGAGCACTATCTTCAGATTTCAGTCACCGCATTACGCAAATTTAAATGAAGAATTGACGTATACAATCCAAGCACGGCCATTTCACATCCCGACGTACCTCAACTGATTTCCGCTGCTTTGCTCAGCGTATTATAAAAGTCAATAAATGAATATTTATATTAAAAAATAACCATACATACATGCAATGCGTTTGAGAATTCAGTTAGTACCTTGTAACAACCAGACCTACTGAGAGAATTTCTATCAAAGGACGGTCGAGAGCAAAGTACAGGAAGCTCAATTCTTTAATCTTTGAAAACCATCCCAAAACAATTGCCATAATTAAGCTATATGATCGTCAAATGATTCTATGATAGCATATAATCTCTAAGTTCTTCCTAAATATTAACTCTGTACAGTTGAGACATTAAAAAGTATCTACAAAAATCGCTGATAGGAATAGTTAAAACGTAATAAGATTAAGCAAGCCAGTTGTTAGTGTGACTGTGGACAAATATCCAGTTAATCGCTAATAAAGTTATTACCCGTAACTTGCTTCGTAAAAGTTCATATAAGATGTTAGGCAGAATAAGTTCCGAAGTTAACTCTGATATTGGATACTCAACCTCTTGAAAATAACAGAACTCTTACCTAAGGTCTGAAAGGACTTTTATGGAACTTGGGGAACTACATGAGAAGATCTGGGTTTTTATATTACATGATATATGATGAAAGGATAGTGTTGTGGGAATGGTCTTTGTTCGGTTCGGAGACAACAAAACTGATTCGAAATTTTTAACTTGTGATTTCATATTTCCAGTGCATATATTGTGAAAAATGTTTTCCTGTGTCTTCGGCATTCCATATCCAGGATGTAATAATCCATCTAAAATGCAAATGTATCCGTTAGAGCTTTCAATACATTTGTACATTTTATATCAAGTACAATAAACCAGTTAGTTAAAATCAACATAGAGATAGGTGCAAGGGTGTCCCAGTTCGATTAGCTGGACCGCATTGCAACAAAGTAAACGGTAGGATTATTCGTGAATCCGAAGACATAGAAAACAATTAGTGAGTGCTATCAAGCCATTCCTGCAGATTACGGGTCACATCACTGCAATTGGTACACGGAAAGCCTGGTTTAGTCACTGACAAAGGGGAGAATGGACTACTGAAATTTAAGTCTTTCACAGACCCACGCAAATACTTCGAAGATCCCATCGCTTCTAGTAATATAGGAATATTTATGTGTTCGGTAGTTAGCCATGAACACACATGGGTGTCGGTTAAGGATATTGATTGTAAATGTATTGCCACTAATTGTATCCATTATTTAGTTATTGTTCGATTGTTACATACTTTTATGTGAATGTATTTTGTTTCATTTGTGCTAAAGTCATGACCATAAACCATTTCATTACCTCTTATGTAATATTTAGCCCGCTAACAAACAATAAGTCATTATAGACGCATCAAGCAAGAAGCAGCTTGTGATTGCAGCCAAACACTGAATTATTGGTGACGAACATTGTCTCCATCCAACGGAGTTTGTTGATATCTACCTGCAAAACTGTGACCAACCAGGTGACAATTGGTCAGTCCTGAAATGTAACGTCATTCACGAATGCGGTGAGTAACAAACATAGAAACTATCATTTACTATAGATAGTCTCCAGTCTGCAAAGGACTTGTTAGTTTCATCCAAAAAAATTTGATGTTTACCGTATAAATATTTTAGCGGACGAAAACACCTTGTCACTAAACACTGAGAAGCCAAAGGGGTCAGTACAATAACCTTACTAACATTTCGTGGAGCTGCATTGAAGCGTAAAGAAGAGTTTCTTTACAATTCCGTTGACATGGATGTGGCCGAGATGCAGGTTGGAAATAGCCACGTCCAATATTCCAAACTTCGGTTGTTCGACAGTGTTGCCTCACCGATTGCCAAGTAGGTTTCTTTGCTTTGTAAATGTTAATTAAGTAATTCGATACAATTAAATACGTCACCATTAACGTTGGAATCTAGGCATGTAGGTAGTGCATTAGCGGCAGAATAAGTCATCTGTACGACCAAGTGAAGTTTTTACATTTTATAGATTGGATAAAGTGCTGCAGAACATATCGTCAGGTATCTCTGCTACTGTCGAAGTCTGGTGACCACGAACATCCGCGGCAATCCGATTGTGGACTATCAAGTCAACAGGTGCCTTTGTCATCTGTAGAGGAACTACAGGTTTTGTACACTTGTTTGCAGCAGAAAGAAATAAGGGACAGATGTGTAACCAACGACATTACTTGGGTCATTTGTTTGTATTACAAATGGCCATGTTGACGAGGTTAATGGATGATGATCTTAAAAACCTCAAAGCGATATGTTTTTTACATCATGACACGTGAAGTTGACAGCCCTTTCACGCTACTTGGCACTTTATCACAACGAGAACTTCAGAAGTGCAGGTTTCACGGCTGCTTACGAAGTAACCTATATCCACTATTTAAACGTCAAGTGCATTAATCAATCGATTTTTGTCACCATCTGTCAACGAAAAAGACCCTGCGAAACTGTACGATATCGCGACACAAGTTTATTTTCACGATGTGAGAGACATATTATGAAAGGGTAATCGGAGGAAAAAAAGAACACGTGTGTAGTAATTTAAAGTGATAACTATCCTTTACTGCTGTATAAGTACAATCGAGTGTTAAGGAACATAACCATAAGAGAAGCTTCAAGTAACTAGTTGTGCCGGAGCATGTCATTCAGATATCGTTTTGACATTTTATGTTCTTTAAACTTTAGAATTCACAAGAATACTGTTTTGATTCTCAATAGCCGAACAGGCGTGACGAAAAGAAGTAATCCGTGGAGTATTTATCATGTTCAACTTAGATTTCGATAAAGAATTTCTTAAACATGTGCTTACTTTCTTATTTGCACTGGGAACTCTCACTAATTGTTGGGAAAGTGTGTTTAATTTTCAGTGCACTTGCAACAAAGTACACGTGCCTTGTTAATAATACATCACCTGCTCCTTCTTTTGTAGATCTTTCCAAATTACAATAAGAATTGGTAATTAGAATTATAAAACATAACGATTGATGCTCTAGCAGAATGTTGTACAATATTACGCTTTTTCTTTTTAATAAATTTTCTTAAAAACATACCATTTTTACGTGGATTGCAGTTTCCGTGTGGTGTGTTGTCGGAACAAAGGCGAACACAGATGTTTTGGGTTATGCCAAAACTGTTTTGAAAGTGGAAGCAAAATTATTGAAATTGACGTGTATATAGGCGAAAAATAAACAATTCAGTGATCTACATGGGAAAATCCGCATTATTTCCCCTTTACTTTCGAACGCATTTTCCCTTTTATTAGCTGTTTGAGTTGTGGATTTCTTCGCTCAACCACAAATTCTACTTGGCGCAATAATGTGAGATTGTGATTTAGGGCTCAGAGATAATTAGTTTGACAATAATGAAAGTGTCTACTCGACGTCATTCGGATTATAATTTACTGAACTGAGTTTTTACATGAAATCAATTAGTGGGTTATCTACATACACTGTGAAAACCACTTTAAGTTTCAACAAGCAATGAATGACAGAAGCATTGTTAAAATACATTCTCCTAATAATATAAGCGTTGTAATCGCGCACACTCGCCTACCTCTTTGCATCAAGAGACCTTGAATTAAATTAAATTCCTGTAGACAAACAACCTTGAGCACTATCTGGTTCGTAGGATGATCTTGATCAGTGAGAAACGTGTTGTATTTTAATAAAAATGCTGGCTATTAACAAAAGGCTTTAGTGAAAAAACCTCTGAAGAAATCTCCAACAATTTCAGCGAATAGCAAGTGGGTAACAGTCTTTCTTCCTAGGACTCAGTATAAAGTGCCGTCAATTTAAATTTCATAAACTATGCTTCCCTAACATAGAAACGCTGGTCATTATTTTCGTTATTGATATTTCATGTCCCTCACTTGTATGGTAATGCTGTAGTAGCAGTAGCTTAAAGTGTCATATGAGTCAACATATCCTCAAATCTAAAAAATAAGTAATCGTATCGTTACGACTAGGTTGGAACTTAATCCAAACAACTAATAACGGTAAAATGAAGAAATATATGTCGAGTATCCCGTTTGAATATACTGCTTAGTGCACTTATACCTTCATCATTCTCTCAAAATTAAGGTCTTGTTCGGTAAAAATACGTGGAACATCCTCATATATATGTTTAAATATGTAGAAACAATAAATTCATAGAAATGTACATATGAAAACTTTGTTGTTTGTTTAACAAAAGTGTTCCAGCGTGCTTGATGGCAACCATAAATAAATTGCGACATGCAAGCAAGTAGCGTTCTCTCTGCGTTTGTACTCACTATCACTGGATACCACGGTTTACCTATAAGTTGAACTGAGTAAAGGTCAGTGGGAGTTTTCGTTGACGTAGGGCAACAAAGAAACTATCAGTGGTGCTTCGTTTTCACAGATCGATTTATCGCCAGAATAGAATACTGAAGATGCTACAGGTATTTGAGGTTTGACAACGCTTTGACCAGTAACACTTTCTACTATGAATCGTACCCACGAAGTGAAATCAAAAGACAGAAGGGAGGAGGTTGGAAGATATATTTGACAGGCTATCAATATATTGAGGATCGACAGATCTAGACTGGCTAACGATTGCAGAGTATGCTGAGCACGGCGTTGCCACTCGTGATCTGACGCGGATGCATGGATTAATTCTTTATAATGATGCTTCTTGTGGCCCAGCACTTCCTAACACGTTGACGTCAGCGCTTGTTTGATACTTTTCCAGTTATAAATAAGAGTAATATATTTGTAATATTCCAGTTATACTTTATAGTAGTTTCCTCTTTTTGAATATATATTGTAAGGCTTGGAACTGTTGTCGATAGTTATCTTGAACAGGTTGATTTTGTAGTTATCTCGCAAAAGGTTGTATTGAAACTTTTCACTGGTATTTCCCCAGTTTTCTAGTATTTCTCAAAGTTCAGATTAATCTTGATCACAACCAGGTGATGATTTGAAACCATGTCGGATCGTTACCTGGTTATTACGTCTTCCATTGTCCTTCCGAATTTTTCAGGTACGCAAAAATGATCCATCTAGTTCTCTGTGATGTGATCCGTTGAGATCCTTGTAGCTTTATGCATGTTTTTGTGACTGAATATGGTGTCGCCTATAATTATTTTATTGAAGAGATATGAACTTACACATCTGTCACTATTTTCGTTCGTTTGTCCCAGTCAGTTTACGTCGTCTCATGATATCTTCATACCCAA